TCAGGCCTAATGGAATGAAATGAAATGGGGTTTAACGTCCTACTGTTCTGCTCCTATACTGGGCTAATGAAGACGGGCATACGCCATACAGTGTGCTAGGAGGGAAATTTTGTCCGGACAGCGGCACTGTGGCCTACTCTTATATCGAATTCCAACTGCCAAGGGATCTTTTACGTGCATTCTAATGTATACACGGGACCTCGGTTTTTCGTCTCATCCGAAGGACTAGACAGCTGTCCTTGTCAGGCCCTCCGTTCTGCACCACTGACAAGGGGAAACCACGTCGAGGCCTAAAGAAAGACCAGCAATAGACAGATCTAGCTCTTGCACAATGTATATTTATTTATTGTATTTCTTGTTGTATAATTTCATTTCTTTAAATAATACACGTAAATATATAGAGGTCCTTATATTTTATAAGATTTTCGCAATTTCGTCTTTTCTATTGGTGCAAAGTGGGCCTTTCTCTCGGATCTCGCTCGAAATCTAAATATCTTTGTTACATAAACTGAATTTCGCTTTTAACAGGAAAACACCTAATAATGTATACCTTAACTAATACTGGAGAGCCCGGATGTAGGTTTAACCCAAACTTGTCTTCGTGAAGCCGTGAAGCACTTACGGGATAGATAATGTAAATGGAATTTGCTGAAAATTTCAGTCAAATTGAACCACCATGACCCGAGAATTAAGCGATTGAAATTTCAGCCTAGCCTCGATCATCATTACTAAAGTCTGTACGATAAAAACAGTCTCCATCATGATTAAATTATGAATGGAAGTCGAGCAGCAAATGGGATCATAATCCAGTAAATATCACAGGCTAGCGATGACATCGAGAGTTGATTATGGTCTGTAGAAGTTAATTAATGTCTAATTAATAATTTAGATAACATTTCAGGCATACAGAAAGACCTGCAATAGGCAGATTTAGCTCTTGCATAATGTATGTTTATTAAAAAATTAAAAAATCACGTCATGCTCCAAATGTACATTATAATGAAATACACCAACAATATATTTATCGTTCAAGGACAATATTGGTGTCGATCATTATCACATGTGATAGAATGGGTTATACATTATACAAGAGCTAAATCTGCCTATTGCAGGTCTTTCGTTAGGTCTGAAATGTTTTCTAACTTATTATATTACTTAGACATTAATTAACTTATCCAGGCCATAATCAACTCTCCGATATTAAATAGAACAGTTCAGCCATATTTTGATTTAAGCTCAAAATGGAGGAGCAGTACTTAGCTTAGAACAACCAGTTTTTGAAAAGAAAATTTGTCTTAACGTCCTGCTTTTCGGATCCATCAAGGTTAATGGGGAACTTTTGCTCGGACCGCGACGCTACGATCTACTCTTATTTAGAATTCCAAATGTCAAGAGTTCTTTTAGAAGCATGCCACACGAGAACAGCACCATACTTAGTGAGCCACCGCGGTTCTGGTGTGGTATTACATAGGTTTTATAAAGCAGTACAAATAAAATGGTGTAAGTATCGAACACAGCAATCAATTTTAGCGTATCTTGAAAATGGAGGAGTGACTTCGGTTATCATAAAAATAAACAAAGCAAAGGAACCGAAAACAGCACATGGCATGATATTCAAAAGTATGTTCCGCCTGTGTTTATTTAACAATTAAAAAATGATATTTATTTTGCTGATGTCCTTATTTAAAGATACATTATGTAAGATTTAGATAAAGAACTAGCCATTCTTGATATAATATACTATTCAAAAAAAGTAGGGGATATTTGATTTTGGGGGCATAATACTAAAATATGCAAATGACTACGAAAAAAGTCACTATAGAACCTAACAGAAGAAACATTTCCAGTTACATGTGACGCCCAAACGCACCAATAGCTACCGCATGGAATGCAGGTGATGCTTGGGATCATCATGGGGGTCCAACCCAAGATTTGCACGACTCTGACTTTGAATGTTACAGTCATTGTGGCATTGAATTCCAGGGTGGAAACATCAGTTTAATTGTTTTAGTGACCAGAAAACAAATTTTGATATGCGTCGGCTTACCCAAAATGAAAGGTTACGTGCCCTTGGCATGCTACAGATCGGCACAACACAGGCGGTTGTGGCGCGGACGATGAATGTTTCTCAGTCTGTCATAAGCAGGCTATGGTCCAGATACCGTGATACACAATCTGTACAGGACAGACCACGCTCAGGTCGACCAAGGGCGACAACTCAAGCCCAGGATCGATTTATCCGTACCTTGGCCTTGAGAAATCGTGTCATCACAGCAAATCAGATCAGCGCTCGTCTTCAAACAGACACTGGTGTGAGAGTGAGTGGCCAGACGATTCGGAATCGACTGCATAGGGGTCACCTTCGCGCCCGACGTCCTCGCGTGATCCCTTGTTTGAGAGATCATCACATTCAGGCAAGACGTCGTTGGTGTAGGGATCGTCAACACTGGGATAATCGACGCTGGAGCAATGTGATGTTTTCAGATGAGTCAAGGTTCACTGTTGATTTTTTGGACAGACGTAGGAGGGTGTGGCGTCGTCGAAACGAGCGCTTCCAAGACGTTAACGTCATCAGACATGATCGATTTGGGGATGGTTCTGTTATGGTGTGGGGAGGCATCACTGTTGCTGGAAGAACGGCTTTACATGTTGTTGCAGGGCGTGTTACAGGCCAGTACTACCGGGACAACATCTTGGCAGTCCATGTTGTGCCGTTCGCACGACGTCATGGCCGCCGTTTCATCTTCCAGGATGACAACGCAAGATGTCACAGGGCCAAGATCGTTACAGGTTACCTCCAACAACAGAACATCACCACATTACCTTGGCCAGCACTGAGTCCCGACCTCTCCCCCATCGAGCATGTCTGGGACATGCTTGGACAGAGGTTACGTCAACGTCAACAACGTCCTGCCAATGTCCAAGAACTTGCTGCTGCGTTGCAACAGGAATGGGACAATCTGGACCAAAATGACCTTAGACGTCTCATTAGGGGTATGCCACGTCGGATCAATGCTTGTTTGGCAAACAGAGGAGGATTTACCCGTTACTGACTTGGTTGTGATGCTGTGGTAACTTTGCTGTTTGACCCCGGGTATCATTTTACCCTTATAATGGTCAGTCTGTGCCTTACTTAGTCTAACGATCATTTGGAATAAATCGATGAATGTGAACTTCATTTCATTTTGTCATTTGTTTCTTCGTCAGTTTCATTAGGTGACTTTAATAACACTTAAAAATCAAATATCCCCTACTTTTTTTGAATAGTATAGTTCGAAAGTAGATGATGTAAAATGAATAATTTGAAAATTTCATTCAAATTACTCAATTGCAAGCGAAGACATTAGCCTTTGAAGGTTTGACAGACGTGTGCAATAATTTCAACCACGGTACTGGTTGATCGAAGCTAAGTCTCGGTCTTCCATATTTGATTAAATCAAAGTATCGCTGAACCATTCTAATCTATTTAATATCGGAGAAATCCGATGCCATCGAGAGTTGATTAAGGCCTGGACCAGTTAATTAATGTCTAATTAATAATTTAGAAAACATTTCAGGCCGAAAGAAAGACCTGCAATACGCAGATTTACCTCTTGCATAATGCATGTTTAATTGACGTTTTCTAGCCAATTAATTGATCAACCTCATCACCCCCACAACGCTACACTCATTATAGATCATTAGAGACTTTTGGCAAGCGTAAATTCCTGGTCCATATCGCGTTTTCGTATCGATTTTGCGTGTGACGTCAACAATGCGTATTTCTCACATGTGATACGCACACGGATACGACAGCACGTATCCAACAGCTTTCATACGGAAAGGGTCCGTATAATATAAAAACGTCGGCGTTTTACCGTATTTTTTGCTACTGTTAAGCTCGGTTCATACTACATCCGTATCCATAAACGTATCCGCATCCGTATCCTAACCCGCATCCGTATCCGCGTTTTGCCGTTCAAATAGAAAACGCGAAAACGTCCGACTTTCAAGGCTGAATTGTCTGTCAGAGATAACATATTGTCATTTGCAATCATGGAGTCTGACAGTGACACAGAGGAAGTCTTTTTTTTATTTGTTTCTTGGTTGTGTCTTTGTAATTTCTCTCCACAAGGATGATTATTTCCTCTGTCTTGTCCATGTTGTGTTCTTCACAAGACTACCCAAATCCACAGCACACAAGGCCAGGCTTTCCTTGGAATGGATTGAGTTTCTATTTGGGGAGATGATGTAATAAGGGGAAAGTACTCGCTGATTGGCTAAAGCTCGGCTTACTAGCCGAAATGCCGGACGCACTTTACAAAAATACGCCCTGGGAGCAATCAATCCGGCTTAACGGACACAGTTGTTTTTGTAACCCTTTTTGAACCCTTTCTCTAAAAATGACTAAAGTATACCAGTACGTATTCACGCACGTATTTACAGATACGGATACGGATGTAGTATGAACGGACCTTTAGACGCTGAAATGTTGTGCCGTAGCGTTTTTATGAATCTATGTGTATATTTGATGTGATTTTAACCATGATGAAGACTGAAATTTAATCATTATTTTTGATTAGCTTTTCGCGGATTTTTCATACTTTTCCTGCCTGTCTGCATGCTGCTCGATCTGCATGTTAAATTTAGGGAGGTGGGACCTTGCAAATCTGTAAAAGGGGTATATACTTTCTGAAATGATACATTAGTGAAACTGAAAATTGCTGTCTAGTCGAAGATTTTTAATATTAAGATTCGACACTGTTTCGAGAAATACGTATGGCAAGGATCAGTGTCTAGTTGTTCGAATGCGCGTAGAAGAACCCTTCACAGCTGACATTCGAAAAGGGTTTGCGAAAACGCCTCTGTCCGGACAAAATGTCCACCATCGCATATTGTATGTTGTATGCCTGTCTTGGCTAGCTGGGCTTGTGCAGAAACGTACGACATTAATCCGCATTTCATTTCACTTGACTTTTTTGTAAATTATAATATAATTGTATCACCCCCATCTCTTTCAGAAATAGTACATCACAATGAAGAATCTAGCTGTGTTGACCATGATAACGGTGTGTTGCTGTGTTAATGGTAAAACAATAATAGATATGTCGTATGAACTAGGACCAAATTCTACCTCGTGGCCTAACAATCCACCGTTTAACATGACACCCATAGTTCGTGGGAACCAGACTGGTGGCTTCTGGTGAGTTCTTAAATAGATGTACATGACTTAATCCGCAGACACCCCCCCCCCCCCCACCGCCCCACCTGACCCCAGTTACCAAATTATGTTTAAAATTGTAGCCTTATCGCGTTCACAAGGTTATCGGGTAACGGGGATAACTCCGGAACGATAAGTCGCGGAATGCTGAGAATCGATCAGGTTCCTCCTCTCGAGTGATGACCCCAATGCCCTCCATCAAACATAATAAATACGAGCCGCACCCCGTATTTATTATTTGACAGCAATAAAGCCGCACCCCGTATTTATTATGTCGGTTGATTCAGAAAGGCCTCACACAACAGAGGCGTGTCCGGAATCTCTCAGCCGTATAGCAGCATCCATATTTCTATATGTATATAGCGTTAATAAAAACCTATATTATATGTTTAACACGATAATAAATGTTATCCTTATATTTCAAAACATCTTAATGCGTTAAGACTTGCGCGTTGGACCAGAAAGTCTGTCATTGAGTCGAGTGGTGTGGTTTCGATTCCCTGCTCGTAGGCCTACGTGACAAGGAGTAGGGTCGCCAGTCCAACATTGTGGGCTATCTCCGGGACTTCCTGTTTGTACCCACTGCTAATGGCTCCTACAAGCATCGAATGATTGAAATAAAATTGAACCATATGGTGACAAGAACATTTTCGGGCAAATAGCCTCAGCCCTACCCTTCTCAACTGAGATTGGCCCCCTATGCCTATCGATGTTTTCTTTCTGTTTTAAGGCTAGAGTACAACTGGTTTGCTACAAATGAACACAGAAGTACCCATATCGATGCCCCATCTCATTTTTTCTACGGTAGTCAAAGGGTACACCAGATACCCTTGGAGAACCTCATCGGACCGGGGATCGTTTTAAGAGCCCGAGAAGAAGCCAAAAACAACAGCGATTTCGCCATCAACAAAGATTTCATCGTCAAATGGGAGGCAAGAAATGGCCGAATACCTGAAAAAGCAATTGTTTTGATGGATTTTGACTGGGGAAAACGATATGTAAATTTAGACAACAATCTAATCTTCAATACCGAAACATACGAAAACACAAGTACCTACCACTTTCCTGGAATAGCCCCAGATGCAATGACCTATTTGGTGATGGAAAGGCATATCATTACAATTGGTACTGATACGACATCGCTCGATATTGGCCAGTCCACTGATTACCCTTGCCATATTATTTGTGGTCGGAATAACATCACCATCATAGAAAATGTGGCTAATCTGGATAAAATTCCAATCAAAGGGTCAACTGTGTTTGTGGCACCTTTGAAGTTAAATGAAGGAAGTGGTACTCCAACACGAGTTTTCGCCATTTTCGATGAGGAACCACCAACTTGTAAACCCAGCAACATGGCTAAAAACATAAATCAGTTGTCAAGAATTCTTTTATTCTTTGTTTTCATAATCGTAAACATTAACTAGACACCTCAATGTGGTTAAAACACAGATCCTCTTTCGTTTCGTTTTTATAGTTCAAAATTTCGTTTTACTTGTCTTTACTGCACTTGGATATGGAAGAGTTGTTATTTAACTCGTGTTCTGAATGGTGTCACGGATAAGCCAATGAAACGGTCTGTTACGGCGAGTGTTAGGCGTGTTTTTCACGGAAATGTGGGTAATCCACTAGTAACATCAATGCTGATTGGTTAATCAAATATCTGACGTCATAGGGTCATAAGTCTGTCTTTTGACCCCTGACGTGACCTATCGCTATAACTTGTCAGATCTTCATGTAGTGCAGGCCATCGAAAGTATAAAAAAAACGAAACGAAATATAGATCTGTATTTTAATCAGATTGCGAGACACCTATAAAATCAGGCCCGTAGGCCATGGAAGGGGGGGGGGGGGCATGGCTCATCTTGGTAAAATTCTACTTATCCACATCACTGAAAAAATTAAAAAAGACACAAAGAAAGAACTCAGTGATGTTGACACACACGCAATAAACTAAACTAAATATTCATAGTCCAAATCCAAAGATTTTATTAATTCTTGAATCAAGGGATTTTATAATTTTAATTCAAATACTTAGGCGCCAACTACAAGAAATTATCTCAGTTTATACGTTTACATAATTTCAGGTTAAAGATGCATTATGTAAGATTTAGATAAAGATCTGGTTCAAAAATAAATGATGAAAAATGAATATATTATTGAAAATTTCATTCAAATTACTTTATTCTGCAAGCGAAGTTATAGGTGTTCGAAGATATAGCATATATTGTTTATTATCGTAGCAACGATGCTGGACAAACGAGGCTAAGTCTCGATTATCTTTTTTATCGTTAAATTTTTAAAACTTGCGGGCGTAATCTATTTAAATCTCTGTCATCCGATGGCCCAGGTAGTTCATTATGGGTTGTCGTGTTACAATAAATGTCTAAATAAAAGTTTAAATAACATTTAAAACCAAAAAAAAAAGACTTGCAATATAAGCAGATTGAGCTCTTACACAAGGCATCTTTAAGTTGTTATTTTTTTACAGATGGAATATGGTCCTCCTTAGAAGAAAACCATACTTTAGGAATTCTCCCCTTGGGGAAATAGCATACTTTCCCCTGGGGTAGGCAGAGTAAATATAGGTCAAACAAATGATTAAAACGTTGAAATATGAGCTAAAATGCACAGATTTCTTTTCTTTTTTCCACCTTTATTTGACAAGGTTGGTGGTCTAGCTTACCCCCACCAACTGAAAACACAGACCTCCCTCAAGTGGGCCTCTCTGGCTACGGGTCTGTGTACATATACATTACCTTTTATTCAACATATCTAACAAATTTGTCACTAAAAGCCTGTAATCTCATCTATTCCCAGCATAGGTATCTCATCAGAGACAGTTTCATGGAATGTCCTACTGTTCTGATGCGACTGGACTAATGAAGACGGAACAGTTTCATAGGTCATAGTATGTCAAGCATGATTTCAAGTTTTTTCTGTCTTCATTAGCCCAGTCGGAGCAGAACAGTAGGATGTTAAACCCTATTTCATTTCATTTATTTAAGGGTTCATACATGCAATGATGAAATGCATGGCCTAGTGTGCACATGCCTTTAGTATAACTTGGTCAATTTGGTATCAATTGTCGGTATTGTCTGCCACAGGGTTTCACTTCAAAATTTTGACATTTTTGATAACGCAAGGAGACTTTGCATATTACACATTCCTTTTTTTTTTATTTATGGTGCGATATTGTCAATTCACATGTGATATACTTTAATTGTGGTAGTGGATGTTAAATATAGTTAGCAGCTATAACAAAATCCTTTTGTTTATTTACTTATTTTTATTACATCAGTATCCTTATTGAGCTAAAGGAAGAGATCTGTAGGTATTGCATAAAGAAATTGTAAAGCGTAAAAATTAATCTTTATACATACAGGTAAAGACAGCTATCCATTTTGTGATATATACAAATGGTAAATCATAAATATTAATATTTGTACATAATGGCAGACATTTATTACTCATTTTGTGATGTAAATAAATGTTAAAGGATAAATAAATGTAATTATGACATAATGAAATATATTAACCCACTGGTATCAAAATCGTTCGTGATAAAAAAAAAAGGTAAATCATAAATATACATAATGACAGATATTTACCCATTTTGTTATTTAAATAAATGGTAAAACATAAATATACTAATTATGACAAAATGACAGCTATCAAGGCCGACCCAATTATATAAACTATGTAGCAATCGGATTAAAATGCAGATCTATATTTCGTTTCGTTTTTTTATATTTTCGATGGCCTACACAAAGACAAGTAAAACGAAATTTTGAACTATAAAAACGAAACGAAATGGGATCTGTGTTTTAACCAGATTGACTATGTAGTGGATAGCAGCTACTTTCCCGGTTGTCATTCGAAAAAACAAATCCTGAGGCCGGAGCCTGCATGTTTTATTTCCAATAACAACCGTACTATCTGACTTCACATTTACACAAAGCTTATCAAACACTGCTTACCTTGTCGCACGTGAAATTCAAACCGTAGTTATTGTGGGTTAATATTACCACAATATCAACCCCTAAGGACTTTACAGATCTGTGACATACATCAACCAAATTTGTGATATAAGCAAAATATAAAGCATAAATATTTATAAAGCTAAAAACAATGACATATATTTTCCCAGTCAGTGATATTTGTGATTGTGATTGATGACACGACCCAAATGAATTTAGAATTATCAAGGGGTTTTTTTTATAAATAATGTCATCATCTTTGTCTGTCCACAATTTCTTGTAAACGCTCAATAGATCAGGTTTCTTGTCATGATTTTTTTTTATCATATTTACAGGAATTCTGTAATGAGGCACCCTTTGAAAAATCAGCATTCTTTTTTTATCACATATTATCACCGAGTTAAAGACTATTCTGATCTCGAAAGAAAGCATTATCACCCTATAAAATGTCCGTTCGCATTTTGACTCTATGAACCTGGATACAGTTCTATACATAATTGTTGGATTTTATAAAACACTGACAAATTTGTTGCTTATGGGCTAGTTCCTTTAGGAACGTTGTCTGGTCGGAGGCTGTTGAACAGCGTCTGGTCAGACCTTTCGGACAGCGTCCGATCGGAGATCATTCCTAAAGGAACTACTGAAGTGCCTATTATGGCCTGACAAGCCAATGTATATGGTTATATTATATTTTGGATATTATGAAATAAATATTTACATTGTAGACTGTCATATGGCTAAATAAAAGGCGGGTTGTTCTGGTATTTATATATTGGTTAATACTAAGCATTTCACGAACATACCGGTTCATATTATTTTCTAACAAATTATAAATCAATATTATGTATTTTTGATGAATATTATACATGAATATTATATATATTTGATAAATAATATATATTTATAATCAAAGGTGTTTCTTTTTGTTTAATATTTTGAATAATACTAAGCTTCTCATTAATACAACAGCATACTTGTACATATCTTTCTAACAAATTCTATATGAATACTAAGTATTTTTGATAAATTTAAATAATCTATGATAAATAAATAAAAACATAAATTGAACAATTATTTTTTGTTTCTGTTTTCTATTCCTTCACTAAAACAAATTGCTAGGCAACCAAACAGCAGCACCTTTCATGTCAGAGTTTCAATAATAAAATAGTCACAATTAATTTAAAGAGCTGGCAGTTCTCACTACATGTATAATAGTTAAAAACCAGATAATGTAAAGGGAATTTGCTGAAAATTGGTTGTCAGTGGTTGATATTGTCATCTCTTATCTGCTGAAATGAAAACTGAAGAAAGACTGATTGACAGAGGGGTGGACAATTAGAAGGGTGATGTATACGACCACAACCACATTAAAATATGGATGCATACAAAATTTACAATGTTTTTCAAACATAATAATATCAATCTGATTGAAACACAGATCCTATTTTAGTTATTTCGTGTTTTATAGTTCAAAATTTCGTTTTACTCGTCTTTACTATACTAGGGGATCACGTGGCTAAGTGGGTAAGACGCTGGCTCGCTAGCCTGGAGGTCGGGTGTTCGATCCCTGCATTGGCCGAGAAAGTTCATCCAGATTTTCCGGCGTGGTTTCCCCTTGTCAGTGATGCAGGACGGAGGGCCTGACAAGGACAGCTGTCTAGTCCTTCGGATGAGACGAAAAACCGAGGTCCTGTGTATACATTGGAATGCACGTAAAAGATCCCTTGGCAGTTGGAATTCGATATAAGAGTAGGCGATAGTGCCGCTGCCCGGGCAAAATTTCCCTCATAGCACTCTGTATGGCGTATGCCCGTCTTCATTAGCCCAGGTTAGGAGCAGAACAGTAGGATGTTAAACCCCATTTCATTTCATTTCATTTCATTTCATTTCATTTCATTTTACTATACTAGGATCTGCAAAAGTGGTTATCATTGACGTGTTCTGGATGATGTGAGGAATTAGCCAATGAAACAGTCTGAACTTACGGCAAGCTTTTAGTGTGTGGTGCACGGAACTGTGGGTAATCCACTAGAAACATCAATGCTGATTGGTTAATCAAATGTCTGATGTCATAGGGTCAAAAGCCGCTCGTATGACCTCTGATGTGACAGAGCGAGAGAGAGAAATGGGGTCTAACGTCCACTCGACACAAACTAGGTCATTTCAGGACAAACACATGGTTCAATCTTATTTCAATAATTCGCTTGCGCGTAAGGGTCTTTAGCAGTGGGAGGAAACCAGAGGAACCGGAGAAAACCCACGAGGTTGGACCTCCCAAAACAACTGGTCAGATCTTCATGTATGAAGTATAAAAAAAAACGGAACAAAATATAGATCTTTATTTTAATCAGATTTTGATAATATTATCTGTCCGTCACACTTTTAGGAACACAATAAAACAATACAACAACTTTGATAATAGTTGAGTAAGAGTGATGAAAATTGGTGTATAATACACATTTTCTGCGAAGCTTAAAGCTACAATTTCATATTTTTAAGTTATATTTTTAAAATGTATTAAAGTAAAGCCTTAAAATAGATGGTATCTATAAACAGTCCTACCTTGTTAAAGAATAATCCTGTTAATCCTATAATTCACTATTGCCAGCTGAGAAATTGGCAAAAATATCATTTTCAACTTCAAATTCCAACGTTTGAAGGTAGCTAATGCATGGAGGCAATAGGAAAACTGTGTTATTATTTCCCGTGTCAATGATTTTTAAGGGTGGTAAATAATGCCCATGGTCGTATAATAGTGAGTTGATAACCTATTGAGCAAAAGACATAGAAATAATTATGTTTTGACTTTCTTAGAAAATATGAAATTCTCGCTTTAAGTAGATTGATAAGTACTTTTGAATTAAGGCGGGGAACATAAGATATTGAATGAATAAATAAAACAAATACTGTATAATTACTGAGGGTATTGCAATAAATAATAAAACTAAACAATAACAACAAATATATGTGATAAATAATGGGACATACAACAGAAGAAATATACATAATTATTAGTGTCATGGGACATTACCCGAGGAAATATAAATAGTTATTAGTGTAATGGAATGTTAACAGAAGATACATAAATTATTATTAGTGTAATGGAATGTTAACAGAAGATACATAAATAATTACAAATGGGATGCAAACTGAAGATACATAAATAATTACAAATGGGATGTAAACTGAAGATACATAAATTATTATTAATGGGATGTAACAACAGATTTACAGATATAATAAATAACAGATTTATAACCAATAAATATTACAGTGACCTAATTAGAGCAAGCCTGGACAGAAATGAAATGAAATGAAATGGGGTTTAACGTCCTACTGTTCTGTTCCGACCTGTCACAGACTCTGTCAGAGACAAATTATCACACAACGTTTTTATTACGACTACAACATTTTTATTACAACTACAACGTTTTTATTACAATAAATACGTTGTGTGATAATTTATACTTGACACAGTCTGTGACATGTGCCTTATGTCCAGGCTTGAATTAGAGAGAGAGAGAGAAATGGGGTTTAACGTCCACTCAACACAAACTAGGTCATTTCGGGACTAACATATAGTTTTAATTTTATTTCAAAAATTCGCTTGCACGTAGGGGTCTTTAGCAGTGGGAGGAAACCTGAGGACCCGGAGAAAACCCACGAGGTTGGACAGGCGACCCAACTCCTTGTCACTTACAACCGGGGATTCGAAACCACGCCAGTTGACTCAATGACAGGCTGTATGATACAGCGCGCGCGCTTGCTAACCAATCGACCATCCAACCCCCCCTTGAATTAGAGATGTAATAGTTAAGATAACTCACTGTAATAACAGGGCCCTGTTTCTCGGATTCTTAAAATCCAAATTTTAATAGATACTTCAATTTTGATTGGTTAAGCACTAAAATCAATCTAATATTATCCAATCCATATACTAAAGTCTGGATTGTTATCTTAGTTAAAATTTCGTGAAACAGACCCCAGACCTCTTATCTTTGGCTTTTATAACAAAATATATATACAACTATTCCTAATGGCAGTCGCGCAAACAAATAGATAGATACATCTAACAAAATAAAGCATTTTAAAAGAAGAATCTGGTGTGTGATAAAGTAAAATATACCATTCTTCATACATGGCACCTGCCATATCATTAAAAATATTAAGCTAACAATTACATAGGCCATATCCAAAAAAATATTTTAAAAAATATGAAATAAGACACTCTTATTAATTACGACATGTAAATAAACCGATTACAATAAGAGAGGCTATGAAAACTATGAAGAAACTATAGTCTCAATTATCAGGTATACAACCTTGATAAATCCTATTGACAATCTTAAAACATACTGGATATTCACACATTCCTATAAACTACAGGGTGAGATAAATGTAGTGCTGTGAAATGTGATGTTTACAATAGGTCATGGAGTTCAGTAGGGATGCTTTGACAAAATAAAAACACCAAAATATGTACCTCTCTCCTGCATTGTCTCAGAACCAGAACATTTTGTTTCCTTTGGCCTTATTATTAAGATTTTTTATAGAACACATTTGCCACAAAAGAAGTGCTCAAAAGAGCTTTACAATAAACAAAGGATAAACACATAAATAAATGTAAATAATAAATAAATAGAAATTTAATATGTAAAGTTTTCACCCCTTGTTAGAAATTATGAACCGTTATATAAGTTCTTACCCCTTGTTAGAAATTATGAACTGTTATAACATAAGTTTTTACTCCTTCTTAGAAATTTTGAATCATTATATCAGTTTTTACCATGCTCTTAGAAATTTTGAATCATTAATCATTATAGTAGTCCCCCCCCCCCCCCCTTCTTAGAAATTTTGAATCATTATATAAGTTTTTACCCACTTTAAGAAATTATGAATCACTTTAAGAAATTATGAACCGTTATATAAGTTTTTACCCACTTTAAGAAATTATGAACAGTTATATAAATTTTTACCCACTTTAAGAAATTATGAATCATTATATAAGTTTTTACCCACTTTAAGAAATTATGAACTATCATATAAGTTTTTCCCCATCTTAGAAATTACGAACTGTTATATAAGTTTTTAGGTTTTACCCACTTTAAGAAATTATGAACCGTTATATAAGTTCTTACACACATTAAGAAATTATGAACTATTATATAAGTTTTTACCCCTTAGAAATTATGAACTGTTTTACAAGTTTTACCTCCTTAGAAATTTTGAATCATTATATAAGTGCCTGTGGTTTTTATATATAAAAACAATTTATGATTAATATTGTGAATCATTATATAAGTGCCTGTGGTTTCTAATATATACATATAAAAGCAATTTATGATTAATATTATGAAGTTGTCAACATGCATGTATTACGATCAGTTGAAAATTACCCGTGGAATAAAATGACTTTTAGTCACCCACTGAGCTACATGTACCAATATTAATGACATGATTACCAATACAAATAAAAACATTTCAATACATTAAGGATACAATTATGTAAGATTTGCTATAATAGTTCAAAAATAGATAATGCAAAAAGAATATATTGAAAATTTCATTCAAATTACTTTATTTTGAGCAAAGTAATCACTGTTCGTAGTTTTGACAAGATGTGTGCATTGATTGTTTTATTATCATAACCACAATGCTTAGCCTTAATTCTCCATTTTTAAATTAAATCATTAAATGGCCAAACCCCTCAACCTACTTAAAATCGAGCCATCCGATGGCATCGAGTGTTGATTATGGTCTTATAATGTTAATAAATGTCTGATTAATAATTTATATAACATTTAAGGCCTAAAGAAAGACCTGTAATAGCCATATTTAACTCTTGAATAATGGCTCTTTAAAGAGTTCTATAGTCAATATCCTACTTCTCTGTACCAACCAGGCATATCATATGAAGACGAACTTACGCCATGCAGTGTGCTATGAGAGATATTTTACCTGGTCACTGGCATTTTCACCCACAGGTACTCTTCATCGAATTTCAATGTAGACACGAGACCTCAGTTTTTCCATCCCACCTGTACGACTAGATGGTTAATCTGGATCAGGCCCCTGTACAGCACTACTGACAAGGGGAAACAGGGTTGGAAGCTCCTGAGGAACTTTCTCAGCCAACACCGGGATTAACCCTTGGACCTCTTGGTAACAATTACCGATTTTCTTGCATTGCCTCAGTTCCACATTCTTCAATATGCTGATACAGATCAATAAGCTAAATCTGCCTATTACAGGTCTTTATTCTGGCTTCAAATGTTATATAAACTATTGTTTAGACATTTATTCACATGACAAGCCTATAATCAACTCTCTAGACCATTGGATGGCGGAGATTTTGATGGATCTGAACATCCATGAGTTTTACAAATTTAACGAAAAAATGGATAATCAAATCTAAGTCTCGGTTGTCAAGTACCATTGCTACGATAATAAATGATCTGTGCTACATCTTCAAACAGTCATAACCAAAGTAATTTGAATGAAATTTTCAATTTATTCACTTTTCATTATCTATATTTGAACTAATATAGCGAGAACTGTCATTTCTTTTATCTAAATCTTACAGAATGTATCTTAATCTATTCTGTAACATATATATATATAGAGAGAGAAATGGGGTTTAACGTCCACTTGACACAAACTAGGTCATTTTGGGACTAACATATGGTTTAATTTTATTTCAATAATTCGCTTGCACGTAGGGGTCTTTAGCAGTGGGAGGAAACCGGAGTAACATATGTAATATTGGTGGAGAGCAATATTTTCCTTTTAAAAATACCAACTGTCATAAAAAAATAACATTTCAATAAAAACAGAGATATATCACCATTACTAACGTTAAATATCTAGCCTACTTTGATGCCCTCTTCTCTACCGAATTCCGTATATGTTTAATGACTTTAAATGGATCTATATTTACATTAGTTACCTAAAATAGATAAAAAAATATATATTATTACAGTGGACTCTATCTAATCCGACATCATACGGGATTGTCATAACATGTCCAATTACACAGAGTGTCCAAATACTCAGTTTTCTCAAAACCGGAAGTATTATTATAATGTGGCTTCGAATCCCAGAACGTTATTCCCTTTAAAAATGATAAACCTTTCTGTACATTCAAAATTTTATTACATTAAAATATCTAAGAATAACAATGTACAATTTATTTGATAGATCATATAATCATTTATATCTTTAAACCAGGCTTGATTTAGATAAATGAAAATCTGTTGTTTTGGGATATTTAGTAAATAAGGGTTTGACGACCAGACGTAAGTCCTACATATTCAAGCAGCATGAGAGAAAGATGGAGTCTAGCGAGAGAGAGAGAAATGGGGTTTATAGCCCACTTGACACAAACTATGTCAGTTCAGGACTAACATATGGTTCATATTTATTTCAATAATTTGGTTGTGCGTACGGGTCTTTAGCAGTGTGAGTAAACGGAAGACCCTGAGAAAACCCACGAGGTTGGACGGGCGACCCTACTCCTTGTCATGTAAAGGGGGGAATCAAAACCATGCCACTTGACTCAATGAAAGACCTTCTGATCCAACAAACAAGTGTTAACCATTTGGCCATCCAACCCCGCAATGGAGTCTAGCATCCACACACTAGGTGAACTGTTTTTTTGTGACACTCATAATATTTTCATCGCAATTGGCAGAAATGGTGATTGACGTGAGCACTGCTATCATAAGATGGATATCTTACGGGGGGGTTGGGGTTGGAGGCCTTCAAAAGAAAAAAATCTGGTAAGACAGACAGGAGCCTAGCTACTCTTTATCAAATACAATCCTTTGCTCATGTCATGGCAACAGAACAAGTATTTTCATATTGGAACTGACAGAGCTAGATGATTGAGACTAATAATAAAGTAATTGAACGGACAGAGCTAGATGATTGAGACTAATTATAAAGTATTTGAACTGACGGAGCTGGATGACTGAGACTAATGATAAAGTGAACTGACAGAACTTGATGATTGAGACTAATAATAAAGTATTTGAACTGACAGAGCTAGATGATTGAGACTAATGATAAAGTATTTGAACTGACAGAGCTAGATGATTGAGACTAATGATAAAGTACTTTAACTGACAGAGCTGGATGATGGTGACTAATAATAAAGTATTTGAACAGACAGAACTTGATGATTGAGACTAATAATAAAGTATTTTGGTGAGGGACTAATAATACTGTATGTGGTACTCACACTAAATAATTCTAGAGAACTCATATCAGTTCTGACATCGGCTACAGCACCACGTGTTACTATTCTAGCAACAGCTGGCATTTGTTTAGCATTATGATCCTGAAACCAAAAACAAATCAAATGTGAAATGAAATGAAATAGGCTTTAACACCCTACTGTATTGCTCCGGACTGGGCTAATGAGAGAGAGAGAAATGGGGTTTAACGTCCACTCGACACAAACTAGGTCATTTTGGGACTAACATATGTTTCTTTTTTTAATTTTATTTCAATAATTCGCTTGCGCGTAGGGGTCTTTAGCAGTGGGAGGAAACCGGAGGACCCGGAGAAAACCCAAGAGGTTGGACAGGCGACCCTACTCCTTGTCACGTACAACAGGAGATTCGAAACCATGCCAGTTGACTCAATGACAGGCCTTATGATACAGCACGCATGTGCTAACCATTCGACCATCCAACCCCCCCTGGGCTAATGAAGATGGGCATATGCCATACAGTGTGCCATGAGGCAAATTTTGCCCTGACAGCGGCACTATGGCCTACTCTTATAGCAAATTCCAACTGGCAAGGGATCTTTTACGTGCACGCCAATGTATACACGGGATCTTGGTTTTTCGTCACATCCGAACGACTAGACAGCTGTTCTTGTCAGGCCCTCCGTTCTGCACCACTGACATGGGGAAACGTCGGAAAATCTGGGTGAACTTTCTCAGCCGATGCAGGGATCGAATACGTGACCTCCAGATTTGGTTTCCTTTATTACAAGGTACCAGTATGTCATTAAAAACAGGAAGGAGACTAGGTCATTTCGGGACTAACATATGGCTCAATTTTATTTGAATAATTCGCTTGCATGAAGGAATCTTTAGCAGTGGGAGGAAACCAGAGGACCTGGAGAAAACCCACAAGGTTGTCACATACAAGTGGGGAATCGAAACCACACCACTTGACTCAATGACACACCTTATGATCTAACGTGCACACATTAACCATTCGGCCACCCAACCCCCATGTTATTAGATGGCAGAAAGAAAAGAATACCTAGATTACTTACTAATGAAGGGCATCCAATACCCATTGATATAGCTAATTTATCCATATCATCTATAAAAGCTGTAAAAATACAATTTACAATATAATTAGAATAAAATTAATGGGTGTGTAATGATTATACTGGGAACTTCACTCAGTCGGATTCAAATCAGATGTTAGTTACATTTTGTTTCAGATGACCTGACAGATGATATGCTAATCAATGTCGATTCATAATTGATAACATTTTAATGTTGATTTGACAGATGATCATATAGGCTAATTAATTTATTGACAACATTGTGATGATGATTAAGTTTGACATGATTTGAAACACAAACTAGGTCTTTTCAGGACTAAAATATGGTTCAATTTTATTTCAATAATTCGCTTGCGCATAGGGGTCCTTGCAGTGAGGGTAAACTGGAAGACCCGGGGAAAAAACCTATGAGGTTGGACTGGCGATCTTACTCCTTGTCACTTACATGCGGGGGATTCGAAAGCATGCCACTTGACTCCCCTCACCACCCCAAACCCCACCACCCTCCACCCGCTAAAGGTATAACGTAATATATATAACTCACCTCTCATAACATAATAAATTAATTGAAAGAATGATTGACTAGCTTTATTTGATATTATGACAACTTCATTATCTTTTTTAGGAACCTGAAATAAAGATGAAAATATTTGCTACCAGCTTTATCTTCTAGACTGCCTTAAACTTTCGTTTGAATATTAAATGCTTTGCCATGTAGTAAAGTAAAGGTATATACACCCAGAAAGCCAGAATACAATTTCGAGGGCATTCTCTGCAGACGACCTAGTCGAGAAATGGTCAAAGCAAGTCAGTCACCACTACACAATCTTCACGAAAATCTTTGATGGGAGAGAGAGAGAGAGAGAGAAATGGGGTTCAACGTCCACTCAACACAAACTAGGTATTTTCGGGACCAACATATGGTTCAATTTTATTTCAATAATTTGCTTGTGCGTAGGGGTCTTTAGCAGTGGGAGGTAACCAGAAGACCTGAAGAAAACCCACTAGGTTGAACAGACGACCCTTCTCCTTGACATGTACAATCGAGTAATTGAAACCCCGCCCGTTGACGCAATGACAGACCTTATGATCCAACACACCTACCATTGATATACTGATTTTGTTTTCTAAATTATATGTTAAATAATTGATCGGAAGAAGAATTTTTCCAAATATTAATTTCTCATTTTCTTTGTCTGAACTATTATAGCAAGAACGGCCAACTATTTCTCTAAATCTTACATAATGTACATTTAACCATGAAAAATTACATATCTTTTAAAAAAATGCAAATTACCATTGACTACTTTAAAGCAAAAATCAGAAAACTTTTAGTTTATGAGAATATATATTTTTACTTACTATATTAGCGAAAGCTATAGCATCACCATGTTGAACTGTTAAACCTAAAGCTGTATTCACCTGAATTAAATCAGAGAAATAATTGGAATGATAAAAACTGTAATAATCATCTGCACCACGTCTCCAGTTCTCGACACCACCTGTTAAATATATATAATAACCTTAGATATATAGTCTATAACTACATACAAATACAAGCAATATCATTGAATACAGCCATTGAATAACCTATGGTTGTATTCACTGGCTTGGACACATACTACTTTTGTCCAGAATGGCGTCACTTTCAGAATTACGTCAAACTGTAATGACGTCACAACTACAACCACAATTTTTGTAAAAAAGAAAGAAAAAAAGGCGAAACCTATGATGAATTTTAACGTTATTGGTGATTTTGTTTTTGATAATCTGGATAGCACAGTGTATTTTGAGAATACTTGTATCATGGAATAGTTGCGCAGGGATACACACTGTTAAACCATTGAATAACCTGAGCGGTATTCAATAGTCATTGAGTTCTATCTATATATTCTTCCTATTGTACGGATGTCGATCCAGTATAACAAGCGGTTGCCATGTAGGATACGCCCACATTTTGCAAGAGATGGACAGAGAACAAACTAAAAACATGATTTTTCTTACAATCTGGGGCCATAATTCAGGAAGCTATGAACTGATATGTGCAACTATCAAAAGGAACCAAGAGCTTTGAGTTATAAACACAGAATTTATGTTTCATCAAAATCGTATAAAAATTGTGATCTCTAGAGTGTCCACATGCTAAAAACATGATTTTTTGTACTAACAGGGTCCATAATTCATGAAGTTACGGTCCGATATATGCCAATGTCGAAAGGAACCGAGATCTTTGGATGATATCCCTATAATTCAAGTTTCGTTAAAATCGGATAGGAATTGTGACCTGTAGAGTGTCAACAAACAAAACAAATTGTGGACGGACAGACGGACGGAAAGGAGCGACGACAATATATGTCCACATGAAAATGCGGGCATATAATAAAAATGGCTGTACTACATGGTACACTTGCTCTGTACAAACACCCTTGAACAATATCTTTTTTAAAAAAAATCACATTCATGATACCCTGTATTTATTTCAACGTTGTTGGTCACTGAAAAACTTGTTTTTGCTTGATTCTAAGAATAATCCACGACTTTTACTTTAGGGTAAATGACATCATGCATACTCACCATGATATCGGTTTTGTCCAACCAAACCATGCATATGTGGATGAATTTGACTGGCCCCTGCTCTTGGTAATATATCCCATACTAATGACGGACAGCAAAAGTCTGGTTCAATGGTGTGGATTAATGCAAACCTATAATAGAAATAATAGAAATGAAATGGGGTTTAACGTCCTACTTATCTGCACCATCCCTGCTAATGAAGACAGGCATAGCACCATCCTGGCTAATGAAGATGGGCATAGCACCATCTCAGCTAATGAAGACAGGCATAGCACCATCCCGGCTAATGAAGATGGGCATAGCACCATCCCGGCTAATGATGACCGGCATAGCACCATCCAAGATAATGAAGATGGGCATAGCATCATCCCGGCTAATGAAGACAGGCATAGCACTATCCCAGCTAATGAAGACGGGCATAGCACCATCCCAGCTAATGAAGACGGGCATAGACAATGTAGTTTGCTATGAGGGAATCTTTGTGTCCGGACAACAGCATTACAGCCTACTCTTTTTTTTTAAATCCAATTGTCAAGAGTTCTTTTACATGTACATTAATGTGTACACAATACCTTCGTTTTTTTGTCCCATCCAAAAGACTAGACACTGTTCCTTGCCAGGTCCTCCTTCCTGCACCACTGACAACACCAGGATCGAACCTGTGACCTCCTGGTTTGTGAGACAGTATCTTACTCACTAAACTAAGTGATATCTGTTCAAAAATATCATTAAAATATCATTCTCTCTTTCTTGGCAATCAGCCCTTTTTAATTTATTTGCCATGCATGTGACTATGTTAAATATCATTTACATTAGCATGTATCTTTAAATTGTTTATTTACATTGGCCCCTGAACAAGCATAATTCTTATATAATCTGGTGGAGTCTCGCTAGTTTTTATATATATGAATAATAATGAGTTACGTGTGTGTGCAGCCAAGGAGTTCTGTTGCCAACAATATGTTGTAATGGCGTATGTGAGAAGTTATGAATAAATATATGGTCGAGTAGTCTAATCATGAGAGTCAAATGGCACGGTTTTGATCCTAAGGTTGTAGGTGAGAGAGAGAGAGAGAGAGAGAGAGAGAGGGGGTTAAAGGTCTACTCGACACAAACCAGATCATTTCGGGACTAACAATTTTATTTCAATAATTCGCTTGCGCGTAGGGTTCTTTAGCAATGGGAGGAAACTGTAGGACCCGGAGAAAACCTACAAGGTTGAACAGGTGACCCTACTCCTTGTCACGTACAACCGGGGACCAACAGCTAAAGAACGCTATGTGCAAGCGAATTATAATAAAATTATAGCATATACCATCAAAATATTCAGTACAAACCATTTTTGGGTGAGATTCATCAAATCCATATACTGATCTATATTCCATTGATGTGGATGATGAGATTTCAGGGCAAACAGATCATGATATCGTTCTAATTTAAACGCATTAGATGCTGAAAAAGCATGTACTGAATCTAATCTTCCAAATGTATCTTCTGCTGTATAGCTATAAATAAACAATTTTAAATTCATCAGAGAAAATATTTCAATGTGTCTTAATTACTTAAACATACAGGATTCAGATGTTATAAAAATGATTAATTAGACCATTATTAACATGACAAGCTCAAAATCAACTCTGTAGACCATCGGATGGCTTTGATACAACTTGGATTTAAAGAGTCGTCCATTTAAAATTAAATCAAGAAATGGCTGACCAAGCTAATGTTTACAGATAGTCACTGACGTCAATACCGGAGATTTCTAATGAAAGGCCTACCAAGCGAGGGTACCATAGCCATTGAGAATGTTACTTGATAATCAATAATATGTGGGTGGAGTTACTGTCTGTCAATCAAACGATCAGCAATTCTCGTAGACAGTGCGGACACAGTTGATGCCTATTTCTAGTCCAAACTTCCAACAGTGACAGCTGCGTTCAGAATAAAGAAATTTGACTGAAATTTTCAATATTTACTTTTTTTATCATCTATTTTTGAATTATTATAGCAAGAATGGCCAACTCTTTATTAAACTCTTAACTAATGTATCTTTAAAGGTGGTCGAAATGATTTCATGACTATTGCTTGATAAAGCATCAGTCTACAGGCTTATCGATCCAATGGAAATTCTGAATTCTAAAGAAACTGAACAAAATGACTGTAAAATTAGAATATAAAATCAATACAAAGTTAATATATATTGTTGTAAATTACTACCACAGTGCTGAGCAGTGAAAAAACGATTTGTGAATCTTCGTCTTAAAATGGCCAAGATTACTAAGGAACAAGTGGACGCGGCATGTACAAATAAAATAATTTGCAGTAATTTGTATTCCTTTCATTTGGTTGCCTTCTTAAAGATCCATTATGTAAGATTTAAATAACGCTATAATAGTTAAAAACTAGACAATGGAATGGAAATATCTTGAAAATTTCAGTCAAATTACTTCATTCTGAGCAATGTTGGTGCTGTATGTAGAATATCAGAGTCTTGATTGTCATCGCTACCATTGTTACGATAGTAAACAAAGTTTCAATTATCCATTTTTTAATTAAATCATTAACCGCAACCGTTGAAAATCTAGAGTATCCGATAGCATTGAGAGTTGATTTTGGTCTCTGCAAGTTAATAAATGTCTAATTAATAATTTATGTAACATTTAAGGCCTAAAGAAAGACATGCAACAGATAAATTTAGCAGAGTACATGTGCACGGTATGTAAATCGTTAAACCAGCAAGCTGACATGCTCAGAACACTGTTTTTTTTCAACGAGGATCAACAATATAAAATTCTTACTCTTTATATCTACAAAAATCACACGAAACTTTACTTTTTTCTACCAATCTGTTTACACTGAAAATAAAAATACACGGTAACATGGTTTTCAAAAAATCTTATTTGTATGATAAAGTTTTCGAATATAGGGGCAATAAGTCTAACAATAACTAAAGATGCATAATTTTAATAAACACAGGGCTTCATTATGAGTGACCAGATAGTTAAAAAAAACCTCTCAAATATAGATGAAGATGTGTACAGACCCCAATATATGTCCACCAGCTAATCTAAAATCAAAACAAATCCCCACATATTTAGCCAGGTTTAAAAATCTATTATGAACTATATAACCTCATTTTGAAGGTGGGGTTGGATGGCCGAATGGTTAGCAGTGCGCACTGTATCATAAGTTCTGTCATTTAGTCAGCCAGTTGTACGTGACAAGGAGTAGGCTTGTCTGTCCAGCTCTGTGGATTATCTCCGGGTCCTCTGGTTCCTCCCACTGCTAAAGACGTCCTGCGCACAAGCGAATTATTGAATTAAAATTGAACCATATGTTAGTCCCCAGCAGACATTAACCACCTCTTTATCTCTCTCTCTCTCTTTCTCTCTCTCATTTTGAAAGACATTCCCCAGACCCAAAGCTTATAAAACAAAGAAAAAGGATAACTTTACTATATATTTTCAGGTTCCTCTGGAATAGAGACAGGTCGTTTTTCACGTAGTGGATTAAATATTGTATGTTCTCTCGTCCACTTGTTATAAATTCCTGTAACTTCCTGATGGTAAACTTCTTCAAATAATTTCTCATCATTATTCAACCATTTTTTAACTTTGACTTGAAACAGATCTGGTAATTTCAATGGTGCAGCATTTTTCTCAATGGAATAAATTGCTGAAAACTTTTTATAAAGTTGACTGAAATTTAAAAAAAAAGTTTAATTGTAAAAAAAAAAGAGAGCAGCAAACATTAATAAATAGATCAAATCTTGTACCAAAATTTAAAGTGATAATTGCATAATTTCTAAGACAGTCAAAACATAAATATTTCTATATCTATTGCTTAAACATACATTATGCAAGAGCTAAATCTGCCTATTGCAGGTCTTTCTTTGTGCCTTAAATGTTATAATTAGATATTAATTAACTTATCCAGACCATAATCAACTTTCGATGTCAGCACTAGCCTGCGATATTTACTGGATTAGGATCTGATTTACTGTTCAACTTTTATTCAGGATTAAATCATGAAATGGATAATCGAGACTATGGTTTTTTTTCGTATCGACTTTAGTAATTCAATTGTTAAAATCTCGGTTCAGAGTGGATCAATTTAACTGAAATTTTCAGCAAATTCCCTTTACATTATCTAATTTTTAACTAGTATAGTGAGAACTGCCATAATGTATCTTTAACAGGTTGTCAAGTCACTATTATACAATCATAGGAATCATTTCAACACTTAAAGTAATAAAAACACCAGAAATGAAATGAAATGAAATGGAGTTTAACGTCCTACTGTTCTGCTCCTAACCTGGGCTAATGAAGACGGGCATACGCCATACAGTGTGCTATGAGGGAAATTTTGCCCGGACAGCGGCACTATGGCCTACTCTTATATCGAATTCCAACTGCCAAGGGATCTTTTACGTGCACGCCAATGTGTACACGGGACCTCGGTTTTTCGTCCCATCCGAACGACTAGACAGCTTTCCTTGTCAGCCCCTTCGTCCTGCATCACTGACAAGGGAAAACCACGCCGGAAAATCTGGATGAACTTTCTCGGCCAATGCAGGGATCGAACACCCGACCTCCAGGCTAGCGAAAAAACACCAGAAATAATATGCTTCATGGAATTGGTAAAGCTCAACCTTGACGTTTCAACTTTAAAAGGATTTTTTTTGCCAATTTCTCAACTAACAATTGTGAATTATATATTAATAGGTTTATTCTTTAATAAGACAGGAGTGTGTATAGATACAATGCATTAAGGTTTTATTTTAACATATTGTAAACTAGGCTTTAAAAAATATATTACTTCAAATAAATTGGAACTTATAAAACAACTACACATCTTTGATTTGGATCAAAATTAAATTTGTTGATATTATTTTACAGGTATTGTTCGAGAGATAAATCTGCCTATTGTAGGTCTTTTCTTTGGGCTATAAATGTTATATAAATTATAAATCAGACATTAATTAACAAAACAAGACCTTAATCAACTCTCGATGCCACCAGATGGCTCTGATTTTAAGTAGATTAGAGCAATTCAGCCATTTAATGATTTAATTTAAGAATGGAAAAGCAAGGCTAAGGCTCCAATGACCAGTACAGTGGTTACGATCAATGCACACATCTTGTAAAAACCACAACCATTGATAACTTCATTTAAAATAAAGTAATTTGAATGAAATTTTCAATATATTCATTTTGCATTATCTATTTTTGAAATATTAAAGCGAGAACAGCCAGCTCTTTATCTAAATCTTATATAATGCCCCTTTAAGTTTGCATGTTGATTTGTGGTGACAATTTGTGGAATATTATTATAGATTAATTTGTTTTATGGGATGACAATCTGTTCAGAATTTTATAGATTGATTTGTTTTATGGGATGACAATCTGTTCAGAATTTTATAGACTGATTTGTTTTATGGGATGACAATCTGTTGAAATATTTTTTATGCCTATAGATAAAGCCTGTGTTGTAATATTTAAATATTTAACCTATTTTGTCCTGCTCATTGAATCAAAATTAAACTAGAGTAAGTAGGACCACTGTGATCTTGGGCCCTATTGATAGTTATATATGTCTTTAATTCTATTTCCATTCTCCTATTGTATATTTGTAAAAGCAGCATAGAACGTCAATCTGATTCAAATACAGATCCATATTTCATTCCATTTTTTGTATACTTTTGATGGCCTACACTACATGAAGATTTGACCAGTTGTTGTGATAGGTCGCGTCAGAGGTCATACGAGTGGCTTTTGACCTATGACGTCAGACATTGATTAATCAACCTGGGGTTTTGTTCGCACAAAATAGGGACTTTCATACAATTCCCAATCGTTTTTTGTTTTTTTAAACTTACCTGCAAAGAGGATCTGAAGATAATTCCCATTTTTCGACAAAACCTGCTAAATTTTTTATAGATAGATCCATTTTATTTTTGGTACATGTCTCCACTAGCCAATCCTGATATAAAAATTGAATATGATTAAACATATATTAACATAACAAGGATATAATCAATTCACTAGACCATCGGATGGCCGAAATTAAATGGATGCTATGATGACAAACAATCTACATCTTCAAACAGTCATAAATCGCCCAGAATAAAGTAATTTTAATATTATTTTCCATATATTCATTTTTCGCTATCTTTTTTTGAACTATTATAGCAAAAACGGCCAGCTCTTTATCTAAATCTTATAGAATGCATCTTTAACTAAATGGATTCACAACTAAACCTTATCCTTAAATTATAAATTTAAGAAGCAAGGTTTTTTTAAAACCTGAAATACAGTTATCTATATTCTAGAAGTTCAGTCAATGTAGGTTTATTGCTTAATCAAATTCTTAAGTACAAAAAAATCAATACATTTATTCAAATTGACTTAATATTGCCGTTGCTTAATTCAAAACAGCCCTGTTGAAACTGAAACATGTCAAATAGGAGGGAGAGAGAGAGAGAGAGAGAGAGAGAGAGAGAGAGTCTAACATCCACTGAACACAAACACAGTCATTTTAATGTCCAGTTTACAGTTTACTAAGTGCCGGTATTAGACCACACCCCCTTGGGCAGAGACAACAATAACGGGCTGTGAAATTCTAGAGTGCAATTTTTAGAAGAAATAAAAGAAAATGGCTCATATATCTTACCTAACACCTTGAAACCTTGTATTTTTTATAGAGTATTTAGCATTATAGTATTAAGCTTCTCGAAAACAACCAGTTGAATTGGGTGTTATATTTCACCCTTCATTACTCAACCAAATCAATGAATATGTTTTAAAGAAAAACTGAGCTGAGGGCAATATATAGATAACCAGTTATGAAATATTCAGACCTTAAAATAATGTTTTTAGATGTACCTAACAAAATGTCAGGCACTAATGAAATAGTACCTGACATTTTAAACTTTGTGCCGGACATGTATTAATAATATCAATGAAAAGGACAAATCAGTGTCGGACAAAATGACAGGCACCAGAGGTTTTGTGCCTGACAAAGCCTGAATCAGTGCCTGACATTGTCCCGGACAATTTGTACCCGGATAATTTGTCCCCAGACAATTCATCCTCATCCCTGGATAATTAGTCCCCTACACTATTCGTCCCTTAGGACTATTCGTCCCCAAGGACAATTCATCCCTGGACAATTCATCCCCTAGGTCTATTCGTCCCCTAATTATGATCAACAGCTAATTCTAAAGAAGTTGAAACTAACTGATGTCTGGTCTACATTGTTTTATCATACACAATAATGCATACTGATTTTAGTCAAGTGCAGTATTGACAATGGACAATACCCATAGTGAAGGGATAAATAGATTCTCCACGTCACAAAAGGTGTCACTGATAATAGCTGATTACTACATGCAAATCAATTCAGGAACCATTAAGTTAAGGCTTGGATTTAATACTAAATGTAAAACGAAGTAAAACTAGCATCAAAACTGAGATTTAGGATAAAAAATAAAGATTAATTCAGTTTTTGATAATGGAACTACCATTATTGTTGTTCAGGGACAAACTGTCCTGGGTGACGAATAGCCCGGGGACAAATCATCCATGGGGGACGAATTGTTCGGGGAAGAATAGCCCTAGGGGACGAATAGTCCTATGGGACTAATCCTGATACGAATTGTCCGGGGACGAATTGTCCATAGGGACAAGTTGTCTGAGGACGAATTGTTCAGGGACAAATTGTCCTAGAGCCGAAGCATAATTCATGCTATGTTAACCAGTTTTACATGATTTTTACCACTACAGTACATAGATGTACCAGTGGTCAGCAAATTAACAAAACCAACCTATAACAAGGAAGGGGGGTTGGATGGCCGAATGGTTAGCACGCGCACGCTGTATCATACGGTCTGTCATTGAGTCAACTGGCGGGGTTTCAATTCCCCAGTTGTACGTGACAAGGAGTAGGGCCGCCTGTCCAACCTCGTGGGTTTTCTCCGGGTCCTCAGGTTTCCTCCCACTGCTAAAGACCCCTACGTGCAAGCGAATGATTGAAATAAAATAGAACTTTGTGTTAGTCCCAAAATGACCTAGTTTGTGTTGAGAGGATGTTAAACCCAATTTCTCTCTCTCTCTATAACAAGGACCTTAACACCCACCTGTTAAAGAGTATGTGTGCATTGAGAGCTTTGAATCTTTGTTTTATACGTTTGCGGCCGAAATGTTACTGAATCAGGCCTTTTATGGTCAAAATTTAAAAAGTAGTTTCACGACATGTAGCATAAACATTTATCAGTGTCATTTGGATATATTTTCATTACGCATATTGATTACATTGGCCATCAACAATTTCTTTTTATTGACTGCCTTTTCAGTTGTTATCGGAATGGTAAATTTTATCATTAGTTTCCAAATCTTTTCAAAGTTTTTTAAATTCTCTTTGACACTATTTAGCAGATATTTAAGTAGATAAAAATACAGTTGCCATTTAAAGATTCAATTTAAAAATGGAGAAGCGAAACTGAGTCTCGATTAACAAGTAATGTTGCTACGGTAATAAACAATCTGCGCTACATCTTCCAACATCCAGAATAAAGTAATTTGAATGAAATTTTCAACATAAAATCTATTTAATATTGTGAAATATAGTTTGTATTATGGTGAAAGGGAGTTAACTATGCTTATCATTCTTCAACTGCATCGATTAAGTGAAGGGAAGACCTCAGTAGAGAAAATGTCTTTGTTATAAGAATACAGGGTTTGTATTTAGATAAAAGTTGTTAACACCATTATCTTGGGTGGTGACCTTAAGTAAGCTGTTAAAACCAATTTAAATTTCTGGTGTCACGTTTTAGATTTATGTAACTGAAATAAAACCAAACATTGAAATGTTTGTAAATGAGTGATTTTTATGGAAGTCAAATTAACTGCTAACCTGATATGTTTAGAGACAGGTAGTATATAATTTGATATTTAAGCTAGTGGTTAACTCGTTGCGGTCAAAGGTCAAACTTCGTACAAAATCAAAGATATATATATGCCAAAGCACTTTTACAATTAGCAACTAAATTTAGATGGTGAAATGGCAGAACAAGATGGAATGGTACCATTACGGTTGCAATTTGTGAAATCTGATCTCTCCTTGTAGTCTCCCTAGATCCCCCTCACTTCTCCCTATTTTGCCTGTAGGGAGAAGTCACTTCTCCCTAAAAATTGATCCTAGTTTGAGCCCTGAATTAGCCAAGATATGAAATGTCCACTATAAAAGTTGTCACTGGTTCGATCAAAAACCACAACCAGAAGTATGTTTACTAAAAATTCTAACTAATCTCATGGTCATTCACAGAAAAAGCGTTGACTCTTAAAAAAACATACCCCTTAAAAATATAAATCAGATCTTTAAAGACATATTCTCTTCACTATTTTAACCTAAAAATTTATATTTTATTCAAAGTTCTTTTGACTGAAAGTGTTTAGCGGGCTCATAATAATTAAAGAAACCCTATTCTGTGAACCACTCTATTCGACAATTGGCAGTATTTTGTTGGTGTAGAGAGAGAGAAAGAGAGAGAGAGAGGAGAGAGAGAGAAGGGGGAGGGTTTAACATCCACTGTAGGTCATTTCAGGGCTAACACATGGTTTAATTTTATTTCAATAATTCTCTTGCGTGTAGGGGTCTTTAGCAGTGAGAGGAAACCGGAGAACCCAGAGAAAACCAACGAAGTTAGACAGGCCCTACTCCTTGTCACGTACAGCCGGGGAATTGAAACCACGCCAGTTGGCTTAATGACAGAACTTATGATACAGTGCGCACGCGGTAACCACTCTGCCATCCAACCCTGCTGATGGTGTAGATGGTCAAAGGCTATGTGCAGAGGTGTCACTCTCACATTGTTGCAGGATGGTGAGTCTGCTGGCAAGGAAAATCAATGATGACAGTCAGTTGCAAATGAGATGAAACAAAAATAGGGTTGAACTGAAGGTCCTACTTTTCTCTACCAAATAAGCTAAAATATATAGGGATTCAAGTTTATCATCTCATCCGAATGAAAAGCATGCCCTCCGTGGTTAAACATTGATTAACAAGTAGAAACCATCCTGGAAAATCCTGCAGAACTTACTCTCAGCAAACATCAGGATTGATCCAGGGACCTCTAGGTTAGTGAGTCAGCTTCCTACTCACTAAGCCACCTTGGCCCACACCGTCCCCCTCCCCTTAAAATGAAAGTAGCATCATTGTGAGAGTAGCATCATTGATAGGGTAAAATTTCCCTCATAACACACTGCATGGCATATGGCCATCTTCAGTGCATAAAAGTAAAAAGTTAGATTTCATTTCGTTTCTATTACTATTTACGGTCAAAGTTGTATACACAGAAATTGATGTACTGTTACAAAGGTTTTTAAAAATATAGTTACTAAAAATTTTCACTGCAGCTCAACACAATTTCTCACTGTATTTTAACCCAATTCTTGTCTCAATTATCTAAATATTCATATAAAATTTAATCATATCTACCTGGTTGTATCCGCTGACAAGATCCTTAATGGGCAAGAATCTGTTTCTATTTGGCGCAAGAAGGACAGGTTTGGCTTGATAACTCCATAACATTATTAAATAGATAACAATTACAGTGATCACTAACATTAAAATATACCATTTCTTTATAAATATAGCAGACATTCTGTCTGCTTTTCCCATTCCAAAATTCATTCACCTTCTTTCACCTCACCTCCTACAACAAACAAAAGAAATAATCTCATTTAATAATGCCAAACATGTAGTTTTCTTGTGTTCAATACATCGAATACTGCTTCCCCCCCCCCCCTCCTCAACTCCTTCCTTCCATACCTACCCACCGGTCGCAAACAGATGCCCCAGATTTTGTGAAATAAATTCAAACAAAGCAGACAAGTATTAAGTCTGTCTAGATTCTGATGTTAGCTACATGTAATTCTGATTATACCCTTTCTATAATCTTATTATATATGTAATCTAACAATGTATATTGACCTACACACAAATATATGTTTTAAGTATCTGATTTTTGGAATCCAATTTATATAAGCCATAAGTCATTGGCTTGTTTCGGTATTCCATGACTAAAATATTGTTTAAATCCAAGATTTGAATGTGCCTGTGATGAATGTCACATCAGAGAAACCAAACGTCCATTAAACAAATGAAAATAAGTCAAAAAGCAATAACAAACAACTCTATTGTAGCTGAACACTTTGAGTCCAATGTTCAAACCTTAAAGCACTCTCCAAGAATGTCAGCAAATACATGCACATTAATTAAGCACAGGCACCTGAAAGGATTAAAATAAAATTTTTCTTACTACTGCTTGTCTATATACAACAATAACAACAACCTGAAGTGCTATCACTTGGCCATTTGTAATTAATAACGCTGTAAAATGACCAATTTAATTGCATTGGAAGCTGTATAATGATCAAATAAAGTCTTGTTGGCAATAAAAAAGACAGGCAGTGTTAGAATTAGTGAGTATTGTGACATGATAGCAGACGAAATCTCTTCAACGATACAAAACAATGTGGTGGCGGATACCCGTTGTTATTGTAGTATGCAGTAGCAAGAATTTTTATTTTAATCCCTTCAAGTGCCTGTGACATTAAGTTATCCAGAGTTATATAAAAAATAATGAACAGAGTTCAAGATTTATTCCTCCCCAGGGGGTCAAATAATCTATTTCTATAAGTCTATTAGTATTATAGAGATTAGGGAGGCATTTTATATTGCAATGAAAGGAAAGGAAAAACACAACCTGCGTCGAGGTTTCTAAATTTCAAAATGAGTTAACAAAAATTCATAAAGTTCTCATTCCCGCAACAGTACAGGAATGATAACACTATTATGTTGCTTTTCCAAAACATGAGGCTACGAGAAGACCCGGTCGAATCACAGATGATATGAATCTATTCAGCTTTAATTAATTGCCTCATAATGATACATTTCTGTTTATTGCCAAGTGTTTTTTTTTTTCAAGAAGACTTATTTCAAACTAGTACGTAATACTTGAAAAGTGTCGAAGTGTTACAGTGCTCTGAAAAATTGCTAACGGGTGCTGGAAAAGCATCAAATTTTCATAGCAATCTCTAAGCTGATGGACATTGTTTCAAACATATATATGCATTGAAAGTTCTTTTAGAAAAGATAAGCCAACTTAAGTGTTACTGTTTTGTACATAACCAGTTAGCAAAGGTAAACAAAAGGTGCATGTATGTCTGATCCAATCGATTGTCAACACATATCATTACCGTTTGTATTGAACTAAGTAATTCTATCACAAATAGTGAAGACAGGAGCATTAAAATAGTTACCGAACAGTTTTTCTTTGTGGTTATGCGTTCTACATTTTCAAAGCTATGTTTCGTATAATGTGAAAGCTGCCATGACACCGGCCAGTTGAAATAAGTTCGGTAGGCAAGAAATTTCGCGCAGCAGTTGGGTTTCAAGTTTCATATCATATAGAGTGAAGGTCTAAAGCATCGCACGAAGCGCGGTGCTTGAGCAAAGCTCTTTTCCGGTAACACAGGAGCGTAACTAAAACTGTCACCCACAGACTGTTGATTAAAAAAAAAAATTCAGACTGTAACCGGATACACTGGGCAAAACTGGCAATGCGCATGCCAACTTACCAAATTTCGCCCAAGCGAGATTACGCGACTCATAGAAATATTTTTATGACGCGTTTAATCAATGACGTCACATATTTCTGACGTCAATGAAAATAATTCTCACACTTTTTTGTTCTTTTTTTTTAAACAAAATTAATCATACAAGTTAGATCTAAATTAAATTCAATTTGGAAAAGCAAGATTATTTAACATTACTTGTATCACTTGAGAAACTTAATTATGTAGGTTTGAAAATTTAACAACAATCACCAGCTTCGCTCTACTCAGGCAATTCCTGTTACAGGGTTTCCTTTATTTCAATAGCAATTGGTTTACTATATGTTAAGCTATGTGCAGTACAGTTTTGGGTCAGTTTATGTGTAAATTAAGGGAGCTATAGGCCAGTAACCTTTTTGTAGTCATTTTACTAAAAAACTTGCTCAAAGTAACTCCGTATTACGAGCCACTATTGTGGCTGGAGTAAGGCGGAAGACATCAGTAGTGGAACCATTTCTACTAGTTTACTCCCACTAAAACGACCCCTTCTTCTTGAGCGCAAGTGGTTTATTTTAAATTTCATAAACGGATATGACAATCCCTTGTTTCTGATATCGAATGGACACAGAATTCTGTTTATTTTTGTAAAAAGAGTAGAAAACAATGGTAATGTTTACCTCTGTCACAACACACGATGTGCCGTACGTCACATGTGTGTGTGTATCGAAGGGAAATAACTCTTAATATTATAGTCTTGGCTACCCAGTCGTAACAGGTGACATCGCGGGAAATGAAAGAAGACGATTTTGAGTTGTGGTAGCCAATTTAACTGATATTATTGCAAATAAAGTTTTGACAATAAATAATAGTCATTCCATTCGTAAGTTCCATTTCGTCTGGTCAGAAATATTGTAAAAATTATCTATAAATATTAATTTTTAGTGTTCTAATAATAAATGAAACCATGCCATGCCATTGACAATCATATCAATTTATATAAAACTAAATAGTGAATACCAATGTCTAGAACTCTAATAAGAACGTATATTATGAAGTGCACCCAACTAGTTCTAAAGCTTCAGTCAATCTCAAAATGAGTATTGTTACAAAGTTAATTAAAGGGCTGAATAGCGCAAGTGGTTTATTTTAAATTTCATAAACGGATATGACAATCCCTTGTTTCTGATATCGAATGGACACAGAATTCTGTTTATTTTTGTAAAAAGAGTAGAAAACAATGGTAATGTTTACCTCTGTCACAACACACGATGTGCCGTACGTCACATGTGTGTGTGTATCGAAGGGAAATAACTCTTAATATTATAGTCTTGGCTACCCAGTCGTAACAGGTGACATCGCGGGAAATGAAAGAAGACGATTTTGAGTTGTGGTAGCCAATTTAACTGATATTATTGCAAATAAAGTTTTGACAATAAATAATAGTCATTCCATTCGTAAGTTCCATTTCGTCTGGTCAGAAATATTGTAAAAATTATCTATAAATATTAATTTTTAGTGTTCTAATAATAAATGAAACCATGCCATGCCATTGACAATCATATCAATTTATATAAAACTAAATAGTGAATACCAATGTCTAGAACTCTAATAAGAACGTATATTATGAAGTGCACCCAACTAGTTCTAAAGCTTCAGTCAATCTCAAAATGAGTATTGTTACAAAGTTAATTAAAGGGCTGAATAAAATTGATCTTCGAGTTAGCTTTTGCCAAAGGAAGAGATGTTGAAAAATGGGTTCTCTTATAAGTTATAATAGTTCTTCTTGGTTTGTTTCCGGAGCACCTTTCCTCGAGCAACCATTTAGTTATCTGTACGAAACCGTGAACAAGCGCATGCATATTACAGTGTATGTGCCTTTTGTCAATTAGAAAATTCTTGCATTTAATAAGTTTTGTGTTTCCACGGAAACAGATTTGACATTGTTTTTGGTGTACCTGTACTGTACCGTACATTATCAGATTTGGGGGTATTGTTTTAAACTATTCAAGATGCCTTTATGTGGAGAATTATGGGTTGAATAATTTGTGTTTTAATTGAAAGAGTTTGACTTAAAGATACATTATATAAGATTTAGATAAAAAGCTGGCCGTTTTTGCAAAAATAGTTCAAAAACGAATATATTGAAAATTTCATTCAAATTACTTTATTCATATTCCTAGCAAAGATACATTAGCCTTTGACGGTTTGACATGATGTGTGCACTATTGTAACCGCCGTACTTACTGCCATGGTTATTTGAAGCTTAGTCTCACTTCACGATTTTTAGATAAAACAGACCAATCCGATGGCATCAAGACTTGATTATGATCATGTTAATAAATGTCTAATTATATATTTAAGGCCTTAAGAAAGACATGCAATAGGCAGATTTACCTCTTGCATAATACCAGTTTATAAAGTATGCAATTAATATTCCTAAATATTGTGAAATGTTATAGGCCATATAAACATCAATATGCTTTAAATATTATGCCTTTTGCATAATAGAAAATTCTTAATTCAAGAATTTTGTAACTTATTAGAACCTTAAAAGGTTTTTAATTCATTGACATTTGCATATTTCTCAGAAACTGTTAAACCAATCTTTACAGAATTCTATGCAAAAGGCTATGCACGTTACTGGTAAACACTTATGCCTTTTGTTTATTATACCTTTCTATGTTAATAAATTCTGTGTATTCATGATAATGAGTTTTCAATGTAGGCCTAATAGTTTTTACAAGGGACATTGTTTCACAAAGTGTGTGTGGATCAGATCATGGGAACTCAAGTTCTGCAACTTGAGTCCGGCTTAAGTAGCATGAATTGTGCTTCGATTTGAAATGTTTTTAAAGACTAGACTCGGACTCTGGTGTTGTTATAACTCGCAAATTTAAAGAGCCAATATTCAGGATAATCGAGGCGCAGTGAGGATACCTATCTCTAACTTGCTTTATTTTGCATGAATTGGTGACTTGAACAGAACTTGGGCTTTATGAAGACTCGACCGGTACTAAAATCAGAAACTTACGACTTTACTCTGACTTGAGGTTCTGCGACTTGTTGCCACCTCTGGTGTGAATACCATGGTCAATTATTATTGTACTCATGTCTCATATCATCCTAAAGGAGTTTCTGAAAAACATTGCAGTGGAATCGCACGTCCTCCCTGTTTTTATACACCCACATGGGAATGTGGTAGTATTTTGCCATAGCCCCCGTCTGTCTGTCCGTCCGTCTATCGTCCACTATTTCTTGTGAACACTCTACAGACTACAATTATGATCTGAATGTTTTGAAATTGATATGTTGTGTACATTAGTGAGATGAAGAAGTCTCTTTAATGTGGTAGTATTTTGCCATAGGCCCCGTCTGTCTGTCTGTCCGCCTGTCTATCGTCCACTATTTCTTGTGAACACTCTACAGACTACAATTATGATCTGATTGTTTTGAAATTGATATGTTGTGTACATTAGTGAGATGAAGAAGTCTCTTTAATTTCAATGATTTCTGTTAATTTCTTCTGGAGTTATGGCCCTTGTTTCACTTTGTTGCACCTTGTCAATGCTCTAACGACAAAAGCTATCATCCAATCCGTATGAAATTTATATGTATTATTTAGATTAGTGAAATGAAGAAGCCTATTGAATTTCAACAATTTCCATCAATTACTTCTCGAGTTGTTTTAACTTGTTCATCTTGTTGAACCTTGTGATTGTTCAAGCGACAAAAGTTATCATACAATCCGTATGAAATTTATATGCGTTATTAAAATTAGTAAATTGAAAAACACTGTCGAATTTCAACAAATTCTGTAAATTATTTCAAGTGTTAAGGCCGTTTCGATCAGTTTGTAGAACCTTTTGAACAATCGAACGACAAAGATTGTAATCTGATCTGTATAAAATGGTCTTGTAAATGCCTCCTTTACCTACAAAAGAATAAATATAGCTGCTGTTGGCGTATGTTTCGTTATCTGGCAACCTATCTTTATGATTTCTTTAAGATTGACAAGAAAGATGTCCAAAAAACTGAAACAAAAGCATGTGACAATATTTAAGAAGAATTTGGAGGAGAAGGTGAAAGCTTTAAAAGAACAGAAAGATGAAGTCAGTAAAATAGTCATTGATTTTATAACAGATGTAGAACAGGTATATAAATATATTATTAGAAAAATATCTTGGTTACAAATAAAATGAAATGGGGTATAACATCCTACTTTACTGCATCAACCAGCCAATGAAGGCAGGCATTATGCCATGCAGTGTACTTTGAGGGAATTTTGCCCAGACAGCAACATTTCCGCTTATTCTTTTCATCCAATTCAATCGACTGGATGCTGTTCTTTACCAGACCTTCCATCCTGTAATGCTGCTATTGGAAATGAAAAAGAAATGAGAAAGCCTAAGGTACTACAGTATGCTGATATAGACAGATGCACGTAATAAATGTTCCATTCCCTCTTCCCCTCCCCCCTCCACCTGCACATTAAATGTGTGCTGCCCCCATATGAGGTGTGGGGGTTGGGGGGCCGAATGGTTAGCTGTATCATAAGGTCTGTCATTTAGTCAACTGGTGTGGTTTCGATTATACGGTCATACGTGACAAGGTGTAGGGTCACCTGTCCGACCTCGTGGGTTTTATCAAGGTCCTCCTCCGGTTTCCTGACACTGCTAAAGACCTCTATGCATAAGCGAATTATTGAAATAAAATTGAACCACGTTTTAGTCCCAAAAAACATTTTACAGAATGTTTACAATCATTTAGACGAGCTACTATTAATAAATTATTGTTTATGTTTTCAGGGATGTACATTAGCTGAAGAATTAATACAGTCAACTGATTCACATAAATTACAAAAAAAATATCAGAAAACTATGCAGTTATTAGATCAACATTATTATAACTGTACAGTTTTAGCTGCAACTGTAGAGGAATTTAATGGTATTTATTGTACTAATCTATACAGCATTCATTGCCGATCAGGTGCATCTTGATGCACATACTCCTCACAGTGTTTCGTTTGATTAGACATAATTACACTTAACACTTCTGTAATGGAAGCAAATTTCTGTTCCAAATTATGACTGGTCAATAGTCCGATAAACAACCAATAGCTAACTGCGTAGCAATATCATTAGGCTTTAAACAGAACTCCAAATTGGACCAAATATGGTTACATAACGTTACCTAATGACTTTCAATTTTATCACGCCCAATTAACCCGTGCATAACAGAATATTTCAGAAAAACTAATTGCGTGTCAAACGAGGCTATCAAAACGGATACAATGTAAACAATATTGTTTGGAGACGAACAATCCTTTCACTGTCCAAAGTTTTAGGAAAGATCCCAGATTAAACAAGGGGCTGTATGTTGCTGTACTTAAGAGAAATTTGATTGAACGGGAAGAATAGACAAACTCCCACAAAAGCTCAAGTATCAGAAGCCAATCCAGGAATGGCCAGAGAGGGATTTCTCGAGCCATTGCTTTAGGATATGGTGCTTCATAGTGCTTGCACCTGGCCAAAAAGAAAATTACTTTTTTTTTTAAAAATCCACATAGCAAATGTTTTGTTCCCCAGATATTGAAAACTCAGCACATTTTCAATTTCTGATGGAAAGAATGCCACAATGGATACCTGGCCAAAAAGAAAATTACATTTTTAAACAAAATTTGGGGCCCCAAATATCACTGAACTCTCTGTACAAGTTCAAGTACCGTTATGCAATATTACATGTATCTGCTGCTTTCATTCTTAAAAAAAGTGAAACCCTAGATGTGCCTCTCAAGAGTTAATCGTTCTTGTATACATTTTTAGGAGGACTGTCAATGACTCCCGACGTCGTAAAAGATTGATCAGTAACATCTTATTTATAATTTATTTTAGAAAGTACAGAGTCCTCTGATACTTGCTCGAACCAGTCAGTACCGCCATCTATGATAGATACAACCACGTGTGATGAAAGTGAATATGAGCTACTCAGAGGTGACAAGGATCACAATCCCAAATTTAAAGATAAGAAAGGAGAAACAACTTTGGTTGAAAGCTCTTTGGAAATATTAAAAACCGCTCCTATAAATTCTCAGGATTTTTCAGAAAAGAGTAAATGTGCAAATTCAGGACCACAGTGCCGGCGTAATCTGTCGCAAGATGTAAACCAAGAACAATTATCTGTTGCGGAAAATAAAATGATGTTAGACCAAGACTTCAGTGAAATAAGGTCCTCATTAACATTAACTCAGTCAGGACTTGACAATCAAGACATAAAAAAGAGTCTTTTGATTGATTCTCAGGCATCTTTGCCTGAATCAAAACCAGAGGTCAGACTTGATATTCAAGAGTTAAGGCATAGACTCTCACAGGATGCTCCACTCTCTTTCTGTTGTGAAATAGTAGCATCAGACAATAATGCTCTTATATCTCGTTATGTTGACAGGTATTCAGATGCAACTCTATCATGTAGTGAAGACGCTATAGACTTTGATAATGTGCCTTGCTCAAGCCCGGTAAAGATCATATCTGGCACACCACATAGAGAAAACACTGCTCTAGTTACAGAAGCGAAGAATGATAGCAGTGAGTCAGGATGTTCCCAAAGAAAAATTTCCAAGATGTCAGCTCCAGTCATACGTGAAGTTCCGTTATTAAAACCCATAAAACAGCCCAAAGAACCTGTGAATCAAAATGCGTCTAAGGAAAAAAATAGCAGAAGTGAATCTGTTACGTCTGTTATTCAAAGTTTTGAAAATAGAGATGAGAATACTGTCGGACAAGATTTAGTACAAAACCAAGATTCAACTAATTTGGGTATCGTTAGACCAAAGCCAGGGCTAAACCAAAATTCATCTGGTTTGGGTATCGTTAGACCAGGGCTAGGGCAAAACCAAGATTCAACTGATTTGGGTATCATTAGACCAGAGCTTGGGCAAAACCAAGATTCAACTGATTTGGGTATCATTAGACCAGAGCTTGGGCAAAACCAAGATTCAACTGATTTGGGTATCATTAGACCAGAGCTTGGGCAAAACCAAGATTCAACTGATTTGGGTATCATTAGACCAGAGCTTGGGCAAAACCAAGATTCAACTGATTTGGGTATGATGGAGTATGATTTGAAGAGTTCTTACCAAGAAAGTATGCTGGATCTCTCTATTGCAAGTCACGTAACTACAGACTGTTACGATTATCCTACAGAGTATATGTATCCATATTATAATCCAAATTTCCTTGGATTTCAATCAAATGACTTTCCATATCTTCCCCAAGATCTAAAATCCAATCCTCCGGAATCCAAAGTTCAGTTACCGGAAAATAGTAATAATAATACAAGTTATAAACCAGTGGAATCATGGGATAATGTTGTTTCTCCGCCAATACAAAAACACCCGATGATTACACACGAAAATTCCACAAATGACATTAACTTTTCTCCGTCACAATTTTCAGATGCTGATTCTGTGGAATCGAAAACCTCAAAAATATCAAAATCCAACTCTGTAGAAAAACCTGGAAATAAATTGAGTCCGCCAACACCAAGCCCAGAGGAATCGAGTTCAAGTAGAACATCATCAAGTGTCAAATCGCGTAAACTTTTGATGATGCAGCGAGCAAAATTAGCGAATAAAGTCAAAGCCTGTCTTGAAACGTCACGAGCAAAGTTTGGAATTGATGTGAAAAAGGGATTAGGAGTAGATTCAAGCTCGGAACAAGAGAGAGGGAAAATTTCTTCAGATAAACATAGTACTGATGAGAAAAATAATTCTGAATGTGAAACGAAGGGAAGCCATAAAGTAAATGAAAGACATGTTAAGGATCCTGTTAAAACTATTTTAGAATATGGTTATGGACCTAAGGTTGATCATTTCCGTCCAGTTTTAAATCAGCCTATTCATGTGATGGTTTGTGAACTTAATTCTCCGTGGTCATTTTATGTACACTCATACAGTTCAGCCCTGGATGAATTAATGGCATGCATACAGTAAGTATAATAAATCAGATATATATTACTATTGACCGTGTAAAGGTGCTCGTTTGAGGACATTGAGATCAGTCTTATTTGCAACTCTTAAAGGACAATGTTGGTGTAAGCCATTATCACACATTTGATAGAACTGGTTCTATCTTTTGTGTCACTTCTTGTTTCTTCAAATCGTCGTTAGGCATCTGTCATAGCAATGATCTGTGTGTTAAAATTATATTTGGAATGTGTTTTAGCAGTTCTATCACATATGTTATAATGGCTGGCACCATGATTGTCCTTTAAAAGGGGAAAACATCAATGCAAACCTGTATAATTTTGTATCATTAATCAGTTCTAACTATCTAAGTTCTGGTTCTTGCAATATGTATGGTTTAACGGTCGAGAGCGAGACAAAAAGCTGACAGTTCTTGAGAAAGAATGAGAAGTGTTTAGTTAAACCTTTAGCACTTAAATGACCCCCCCCCCCCCCCCCAACTAGGACTCTTAAGACCACTTTGTCACATGTACAGCTGATAAAGAGCTGACAGTTCTCGCTATAATAGTTTAAAAATAGATAATGAAAGGAGAATATGCTGAAAATTTCAGTTAAATTACTTCACCCTGAGCCTAGATATTAGCGATAGAGTTCCGATAATAAACAAAGTCTCGATTATCGATTTTTACAGTTACCACATAGATCACAAAATGTAATTAAATCTACTAAATATCACAGGCATTCGATAGCATCGAGAGTTGATTATGGTCTTGGTACATGTAAATTAATTAATGTCTAATTAATGATTTATATAACATTTCAGACCTAGAGAAAGACCTGCAGAATTAGCTCTTGTATTATGCATGTTTAAATAATACATTGATATTGCACAAGTTTGTTATTATTTCGTTGTTTCAGTATATAACGCTTTGTCTCACTCGATTGCATTAAACGACTGAAAATACAGACACTATGCTGCACGTGCATTTCAATGAAATCGTCACACAAGACCGATATTTCAGCTAGTGTAAATAATGTCCGATCGGCACGTTGCCAGTACCATTATTTGCAATCATACATAAGCCTGGAAATAAGGCTCCTGTCACAGACAATGTCAGGCACAGATTCGGGCTTGGTCAGGCACAAAACCTCTGGTGCCTGTCACTTTTATTGATATTATTAATACAGGTCCGGCACTAAGATGAAAATGTCAGGTACTATTTCATCAGTGCCTGACATTTTGTCGGGTACATGTACATCTAAAACCGTTATTTCCAGGCCTGATAATACCCATTGTTTATCTATCTGTAGGACTTTAGTTCATTAAAATCTGTAGATTAAAAACTGAAATAAAATCCTTTTGCGTATCTCAAAAGATAGGTTTTTGATATGGTAACAAATGTTTTTTCCCACATAGTTAAAATGTGTTTTCTAATCGATGTTATGTATTTAGGTGTGCCCTCTGTAGCTGCTGTTGACCTGTGTTTTGTTGCCTGGTAACCTGTATTTTGTTTTTGATCGCAAATATTTTTTCCTACATAGTTAAAATATGTTTTCTAATCGATGTTTATGTATTTAGACTCGCCCACTGTAACCGTTCTGGACCTATGTTTTGTTGCCTGGTAACCTATATTTTATTGTCTGGCAACCTATATTTTTATTTACAGACAGTATGTATCAAGTTATAAAGATGAATATGAGTTACCAGTAGTAAAAGATATGATTTGTTTAGCTAAATTTAAATTAGATGGAAATTTCTATCGTGCTAAAGTTCGAAACATCAAAGGTTAGTTTAATCTACATTTATAACATTATGTGGCTCAGTGAGTAATGTGCTTGCTCACTAACCAGATATCCCCTTGTCAGTTCAGTTGCGATGAAAACCAAATATCCATGTTCACATGGCAGGCATGTACATGTAAAAGAACCCTTGATAATTGAAATTTGGTAAAGAGCAGATGCAAACGTTGCTGTAAGGGGGGGATCATGGTGGCTAAGTGGGTAAGACGCTGGCTCGCTAGCCTGGAGGTCAAGTATTCGATCCCTGCATTGGCCGAGAAAGTTCATCCAGATTTTCAGACGTGGTTTCCCCTTGTCAGTGATGCAGGACGGAGGGCCTGACAAGGACAGCTGTCTAGTCGTTTGGATGGGACGAAAAACCAAGGTTCCAGGTAAACATTGGCGTGCGAGTAAAAGATCCCTTGGCAGTTGAAATTCAATATAAGAGTAGGCTGTAGTGCCGCTGCCCGGGCAAAATTTCCATAATAGCATACTGTATGGCGTATGCCCGTCTTCATTAGCCCAGTTTAAGAGCAGAACAGTAGGACGTTAAACCCCATTTCATCTCATTTCATTGCTGTAAGGGAAACATTCTAATTGGTTGAGAGTAATGAACATCAATACCTTGACTATGTTCAATACAGAGAGCATTTTCTGGTTAAGCATAGTGAAAAGCAGTGGCCACAAATTTGTACGCATGTATTCAGGCAAATGGACAATTATTTGTCCAGACTATCTGAACAGTTCAAATTCTGTTGGCAGGGTTGGATGGCCGAATGGTTAGCATGTTCGCGCTATATCATAACGTCTGTCATTGAGTCAACTGGCGGGGTTTCGATTCCCCCTGTTGTACGTGACAAGGAGTAGGGTCGCCTATCCAACCTCTTGGGTTTTCTTTGGGTCCTCCGGTTTCCCCCCACTGCTAAAGACCCCTACATGCAAGCGAATTATTGAAATAAAATTGAGCCATGTTTTAGACCCGAAATGACCTAGTTTGTGTCCAGCGGGTGTTAAACCCCATCTCTCTCTCTCTCTCTCTCTCTCTCTCTCTCTCCCTCTCTCTCTCTCTCTCTCTCTCAGTTGTAGATTTATTTATCCATTTCATTATTAATATTTCAGGAGATAAAGTGACAGTTCAGTATATAGATTATGGTAATCAGGAAGAGGTCATGACCCTTGATCTTCGTCCACTAAATAGTCAACTTGCACAACTGCCTGCTCAAGCTGTCTTCTGTGCTATAGCTGGAGTAAGTTGATTCCTTTTGACTATCTACATGTAATAATCTTATTAGCTTGAGATGAATAAAGTTACAGGAAGGGATATTGAAATGGGTGCCATTATTCGTTCCCGGTTTTGTTTCCAAAACATATTTTCGCTCTTTGGTTGGATGCCCCTTGAAATGGATGCCTGGGTCAGTCGTCCACATTGCCCCACTCCCTGCGCGCCACTGCATATGTGCATATTTAATTAACTTATTGTAGCCTGATTAGGCGATTGTTTCAAACTTTAAAAATCTCTGTAATCTTGGCCTACTGCCATCTGATCAGCCTACTGGAATTTTTTGGTGATTGGTTAGTGAGTATATGTTGCATTCACTATATTCTATCCTTCTTGGGGGGGTTGGATGGACGAATGGTTAGCATGCGCGCTGTATCATTAGGTCTGTCATTGAGTCTGGCGGGTCTTTGATTCCCTGGTTGTACGTGACAAGGAGTAGGGTTGCCTGTCCTATCTCGTGGGTTTTCTCTGGGTCCTCCGATTTCCTCCCACTGCTAAAGACCCCTATGCGCAAGCGAACTATTGAAATAAAATTGAACCATATGTTAGTCCTGAAATGATCAAGTTTGTGTCCACGTTAATATCTCTCTCTCTCTCTCTCTCTCTCTCTCTCTCTCTCTCTCTCTCTCTCTCTCTCTCTCGTGAAAGTGACTCAATTCACTGATTAGTGATAATGGAACAAAATATATGTTAATGTGACTGGTGATAGTATTTTTTCCAATTAATTTCTTGTTTTAAGATAGTTGACAAAGAGTTGGAAGAGGGAAACTCCTGACAATGCACAACAGCTTGTTATATATGTATTTTATTTTTCAGCTAGCACCAGCAGAGAGAGATCGATCATGGACCGAAGATGAAATAAACATTTTAACTATCCATGTAAAAAGTCAAGTACTACTGTGTAAAGCAGTCTATTGTAGTGATAATCCTTCCTTTCCCCACTTGGTGGAGCTAGTGTTGATGGTTTGGCCAGACAGTAATAGAGGGCAGCAGTGGAACTTTCCCTGTGTTAATATGAATCTCAGTGCCATTATGATTCGACAAGAACGAGGACGTTTTATTCCGATATCCGAACAATTAGACTGTTTACGTGTCATGTACAAACAAGTGTTGAAAAATGCCCATTCTGTGATCTCGAGTATCGAAAAAGATAAGGCCAAAGCTAATACTAAAAATGACAGTTTGGATGATAAAGTATCTGTTGAAAGTGGATTTGTGTCCTCAAAAACACCTCACCAATCTCCTGTTCTTTCTGTAGATTCATTCAGGATGCAACAAGGTTCTAATTCACTCACTTCAAATGAAAAACGGCAAACCATTCCAAAAGATGAAGAGCAAAAGTTTGAAAACGACGTTAGTAAAGAAATAGAAAAGTCCAAATCGGAAGAACATGATCGTTCAAAAGTAGGGAATGAAAAGTCAGAAATAGATAACAAATTAAAAGTAGTCAAGGACAAGGACAATGATAATGATACAGTTACTGTAGACATTAAGAAAGTGAAAGTAGACAATAACAATGAGGAAGTGAAAGTAGATATTGAAAAACACATTGACAAAAGCATAGATGTGGGTAAGATTAGCCAATCTAGTGAAACAACGATGAAGTCACATGTTAAAGATGATGAAAACACACATATTTCTTGTCACCAGAAAAATGTTTCTAAGGAATCAAAGAGGGCTGCTACGAAGACGGAAGAAAAATCAAGTCATAACACAAGAGATAAAAATACTAGGCCTAATACTGAGAGTTTTAAAACAATGTTGGCATCAAAGTCGGAAGAAACAGTTGCTTCCAAACATTTAACGAAAGAAGAACTAAAAAATACTGAAACAGATACTAAAATCAAATTTAACGTTTTAATGGCTCACATCAACACACCAGGGGATTTTTACGTGCACAAAGTCTCGCTTGAAAATGGACAAATTCTTGACAAATTGATGGAGAATATCAATCGAAAATTCTTTGCCTACACTAAGAAAAGATTAGAGCAACTGAGTCGCGATTTTCTTCCCAAAGTGAATGATTTCTGTTGTGCCAAATTTAAGGATGGATTTTATTATCGTGGCAAGGTTGTGGAACTAATCAGTAAAGGAAATGTTAAATCGAGTAAAAAATACCAAGAAGTTATTGTTTTCTATGTAGATTTTGGGGATAAAGAGAAAGTTTCTATTAATCAAGTTTATCCACTGCCTAAAGAGTTTACAGTTCTACCTCCCATAGCGTTATGGTGCTGTTTATCTAATATCAAACCTCTAGCTCAGAATACGACATCCTGGCCGCTTGTCTCAACCGTGGTATTTAAGGAATTATGCTCAGAGAGTGGTAAAGATGATAAAATGCTGTCCGTTACCGTAGCTTGTGATAATCTACCTAAATCAGGCAGGTAAGTACCATAAATGACAAGAGTTCGCTTTATAGAATGATATGGAGCTTGACGTCGGTTCTAAGCCTTCTGGGTTAATGAAGACGGGCCTAAGCCATACAGTGTGCTATGACGGAAATTTTGCTCAGACAACGACACTACAGTCTACTTTTATATCAAATTCCAACTGTCAAGGGATCTTTTATGTGCAAGCCAATATATACACAGGACCTCGTTTTTTTGTCCCATCCGAATATCTATACAGTGTTTGTTGCAAGGCCCTCCATCCTATACCAATGACATGGGGGAACCACGTAGGAACTTTCTCTGTAAACACAGGGATCGACAACAGGACCTCCAATTCCATGTTACTCAATGAGACTCTATGAAACACTAGTGATTTCCTAGAATGAACATGAGGTGATACACTTGCGATTTCTTAGCCAAATCAGATCAAAATGCTTGAGGTTACAATTATTTTTCAGTCTTTTAGAATATTAAGTTTCAATTATAGTTGATCTTAACTTTTAGATCTATGTGCCTTTGTCAGAATATCATATGAATGCACAGTATTTAATTGACTGCCTGAGTCAGGTGCCAATCCTGAGTTTTATTGCTCTGGGATTACCATCCAACCATTAGCCATGTATCTTTGAGAACCCATGTTCTGGTGTTGTGCACGAAGTAGAGTATGCTTATACTAATTCTAGAACATCTGATACAACTTTTGTTATAGATATATATCTAAGGAGTTTGCAGAAATTGCATTTGTTGGTGTTTTTTTGTTTTTTTTACCTAGTAGTATTTTATTATAAATGAAGATTTGAGTAATTTGTTGTTTTTTTCAGTGTTCAGTTGGAACCATTACCTGTTTTTCTGGTAGATTATAATCAGAAGGAAGAAGTTTGTTTTAATCTTGAATTAATCCGTCTGGGTTTTGCTCAAGCTTTGATTAATCGACCAGAAACACCACCACAAATAGGTCAGTTTTTGCAAACATATAGGAGGCAGACCACCATTAAATTTAATCATATCCACGAACATAGCACCTTCAGATACTAGTCTTTCTTTCTCTCTCTCTCTCTCTCTCTCCCCCCTTAATTGTTAATTTTATGATCCAGAATCAAAGAAGAGGATTTGAATTGACATTTTCTGCCAGGTTTTGGTAAATGTTCATAGTTTAGAGGTGGAAGGATAATAAAGTTCAATTGTTAATAACAGTGGTATGTACGGCAGATACATGTTGTTTGTATGCTACTTCAATATGTGTATCTCCAAATTTCAGTGGTCATCCTCATCCAAACTTTAGGGTAAAGACGTGATCTGTTATTGCTCTGTAAAAAAAAGATGGAGCCAGGCAAAAATACACATATCAAGAGTTATTTCCCTTGACACATTAGCCCTTTTATTTCAAAAAGAGAGAGAGAGAGAAATGGGGTTTAACGTCCACTCGACACAAACTAGGTCATTTCGGGACTAACATATGGTTTAATTTTATTTCAATAATTCACTTGCGCGTAGGGGTCTTTTGCAGTGGGAGGAAACCGGAGGACCCAGGGAAAACCCACGAAGTTGGACAGGCGACCCTACTCCTTGTCACGTACAGCCGGGGATTCGAAATCACACCAGTTGACTCAATGACAGGCCTTATGATACAGCACGCGCGTGCTAACCATTCGGCCATCCAACACCCCTTTATTTCAAAAAATAAAAATTAATGATTTTGATGAAATGAAATGAAATGGTGTTTAACTTCCTACTGTTCTGCTCCTATACTGAGCTAATGAAGACGGGCATACGCCATACAGTGTGTTATGAGGGAAATTTTGCCTGGGCAGCGGCACTATCGCCTACTCTTGTATCAAATTCCAACTGCCAAGGGATCTTTTACGTGCATTCCAATGTATACATGGGACCTCGTTTTTTTGTCTCATCCAAAGGACTAGACAGCTATCCTTTTCAGGCCCTCCGTTCTGCACCACTGACAAGGGGAAAACACGTCGGAAAATCTGGATGGACTTTCTCAGCCAATGCAGGGATCGAACACCCGACCTCCAGGCTAGTGAGCCAGCATCTTAACCACCTAGCCACCGTGACTAATGATTTTGAAATTGCATCAAACAAGTAATTAATGTTTTATGAACCTAGAATAGTGATAGGGATGGATTAGATTCTGGCTATTCAATCATTAGAAATAGCCGAGATGTTCGCCAATAATCAGGATATCATTATATTGATTAACATCTAATTTATCACCATTGATTATTTTATTAACCTGAATGAGGTTATCTTAGATGATATCGCTAATTTACACAGTTAACTACTCCATATATTATCTTTATTTACACTATTGAATTCATTGTGGTCGACCATGAGTCACATTTATTACCTTAAGTTCTTGTTAACTTTTATGATGTACATTTCCAGTAAGTCATGCTATGCCACAGTACGATTTAAGTTCCTGTTTATGACAATTTGATATGAAACTGGGTCTGTGGTAACCAATAAAGCAAATTCCCCCAAAATATCTGAAAATTTCATGCTGATAGCTATATTAGAAATGAGTTATTTTGAAATACATATTGTCGAGCAGTGCCTGCCCTTGAATTGAGTTCTTGACAATTTGATATAATGTGCGACAACTATTAAATTTAGTTCAGGACAATTTGATATAGTATATGTACAACTACTATAAAATTGAGTTCAAGACAATTTGATATAGTATAAGTGTAACTACTATAAAATTGAGATCAAGACGATTTGATATAGCATATGTGCAACTACTATTAAATTGAGTTTATGACGATTTGATATATCATATGTGCAAATACTATTAAATTTAGTTCAAGACGATTTGATATAGCATATGTGCAACTACTATTAAATTTAGTTTATGACGATTTGATATAGTTTTATGTGCAACTACTATAAAATTGAGTTTATGATGATTTGTTATAGCATATGTGCAACTACTATTAAATTTAGTTTATGATGATTTGATATAGCATCTGTGCAACTACGAACAATTGTATCGCAGAGTTAATCGCTTAAGAGCGTTAGATCAATGATATTGTTTTTGGTTTTTTTCTTATAGATGATGAACTGTTGCTTGATTGGGATCCAATGCAGGAAGATTTTAATTCTATTAGAAACAGTTATAAAATAGATGTAGATGATCCAAGTGTAGCTACAATGAGTTATGGTGAGTGAAATTTAGATGTTATTGTCAATCATGCAAAGAATTGTGGTTTTTGTTATATTAACATTCAAGCATTAAACATGTGACAAGGAGTTGGATCGTCAGTCTATCCTCATGGGTTTTCTCCGGGTCCTCCGGTTTCCTTCCACTGCTAAAGACCCCTACATGCAAGCAGATTATTGAAATAAAATTGAACTATGTGTTAGTCCAGAAATGACCTAGTTTGTGTTAAACCTCTCTCTCTCCCTTTCGCTCTCTCTTAGTCATAAAGAACTCAAAGAGCTTGAAATTCGTAATATAATTCTCCATGTATTGATTCAAAACTAAATCAAATATCTACCTCAAACCCACCACAATTTCGAGGTGTAGTCGTTTTGCTCTAGCAGATCCGCACAGTTTTACAATTTGAAAATGTTTGCAGTTTGGCATCTTTTCGATCCTAAGCCTGTATGCGACATAAATGTAGGGTCCTCTTGTGTTTTGTCTGGGTCCCCCCAAGTTCTTCCCACTGGGGGGGTTGGATGGACGAGTGGTTAGCATGTGCGTGCTGTATCATAAGGCCTGTCATTCAGTCAACTGGCGTGGTTTCGAATCCCTGGTTGTACGTCACAAGGAGTAGGCCTGCCTGTCCAACCTCGTGGGTTTTCTCCGGGTCCTCCGGTTTCCTCCCACTCCTAAAGACGCCTACGCGCAAACAAATTATTAAAATAAAATTAAACCATATGTTAGTCCCAAAATGACTTAGTTTGTGTCGAGAGGACTTTAAACCTCATTTCTCTCTCTTTCTCTTTTCTCCCACTGCTAATTAAAGACACATACCAGATTTATTGTAATAAAATTGTACAATCATGAAGTGACCTAATATTTGTCAAGTGGAATTAAAACCCAATTCTCTCTCTATTTATGAAGATGTATATCAGAGCAATCTATATTCATTATATTCTGACATTTTGGTCGATTATCTCAGTTTAGAGAAAAGATGATGATAAAAATTACAGTCTCGGGAAGATCAGACAGAGAATGATCCTTCATCATGTTAAAAACAGATCATTATGTAGTCCTTGATTACAAATAATTGTCATTGTCATAGATTTATCTAGCAGTAATGATGATTTAAAAAAAATAGATAATAAAAAATAAATAATATTAAAAACGTCCTTCAAATTACTTTAAGTGATTGTATGGTGCAGATGTTCTTATTCATTTTTTTACCATCCGATTGAATCAACACTGTCCTTGCCAGCCCTCTATCCTGCACCACTGACAATGGGGAAACAGTGCCAGAAAATCCTGAGGAACTTTTCGACCAATGCGGGAGCGAACTTAAGATCTCCTGTTTAGTAAGCCAGCCTCTTACTGACTGAGCCACAGTGGCTGCCTCTCTGAAATAAAGAAGATGTGGTCTAGTATCTGTTATATGCCCACACTGAAATGTAGTCGTATATTGTCGTCGCCCCTTTCCGGCCGGCCGGACCACCGGCATGCATCCACAAGCGATTGTTAATATCTGATTGACTTTAAATTTATGCACAGTGTTTAAGGTCATGAGACAAAGAATCCTATTGATTTTCAGCGATTTTCGATAATTGCTGTTAGAGTTATGGCCCTTGATCACTTCAAAAAATCTTGTGAACTCTCTAGAGACTAAAGTTAATATCCGATTGACTTTAAATTTATACAGTGTTTAAGGTCATGAGACAAAGAAGCCTATTGATTTTAAGAGACTTCCAATAATTACTGCCAGAGTTATGGCCCTTGATGACTTCAAAATATCTTGTGGATGCTCTACGAGCTAAAGTTATCATCCGATTGACTTCAGATTCATACACAGAGTTCAAGGTCTTGAGACAAACAAGTATATTGATTTTCAATGAATTTTGATAACTTGAACAGCTAAATCCATGATATTAAATGTTTCGTATACTAAACGTTAGCATGGGGCAGAACTTTATAAAAACCAAACAAATTCTAATGATTTTCAGCTAAATCTGTCTATTGCAGGTCTTTCTTTAGGCCTGAAATGTTATCTAAATTATTAATTAGACATTAACTTATCCAGACCATAATAAACTCTAGATGGCATCGCTGGCCTGCGATCTTAAGTGGATTGTGAGTGGATTTACTGCATAACTTTCCTTCTCGATTTAACGATTAAATGGATAATTGAGACTTTGCTGTTTATCGTACTGACTTTAGTAATGATGAACGAGGCTAGGCGGAAATTTCATTCGCTTAGTTCTGGGTTCATAGTGGATCAATTTGAATGAAATTTTCAGCAAATTGCCTTTACGTTATCTAGTTTTTAACTATTATAGTGAGAACTGCCAACTCATTATCAAATCTCCCATAATGTATCTTTAATGAGTTGTTAGTCTTAATCAGATTTTAGTGTATTATAAATGTTTCATTACCCAAAAAAGTAAAAATGTTTATTTTGTCTTAAATATTGGATATCAAAAGCCCATCTTTTCCCGGTAAGATCACAACACCAATGTTGATTAAAATTGACAACTAATTCATGTTTTCAATGTCGAAGGTTTTGGGTGATATTGAGTTAGAGACTTAGCTACTTTAAGTTATTATCAAAGCCAAATTACAAGATTATTTTAATTATAAAGATGTATTTTATAATGATGTAGAAGATTATAATGATGTATTTTTTTTTCTTCGGAAAAAAGAATTGCACTACATAAAGAAGATAGTCTACTTTGTTTACTTTATTAGGGATGCCTAGTTTTCGTTATTCAGTTAAATCCATTTCTGTCTCTTTTATCTTGAGAATTTTGTTATTTTAAAGACAAACAAACAGTTTTTATCGATAATGTTCTAATGATATTTGTTTAGGAAAACATGTCAATAGTTAATTATTTTTGTTATTTTCTTTATATTTTATTGACGTATCAATGATCAAAGTCCTTGTACTTTTAACCAGAACATAAAAAAGCTGTATTAATTGTTTAAGTAATGATGGATTTAAAATGCTGTATAAAGAATTCCATGGGTGCCTTGTTTTAGGCCAGTCCAATGTCGTTCTGTGTCTCAGGAACTATGTTTGTTTAGTGTTTTAAGAAGTGTAACAAACCAATTTTGTTTCTCCTCTCTACCAAAAGAGAGGAAGCAAAATTTAAATAGGTGTTTCCGAAGTACAAAACTTCAAATTTGTGTTCGCTAAATTTACAATTTTGTGTTTGAAATTAAAGATTTTGAAAAGAGAAATGAAATGAAATGAAATGGGGTTTAACGTCCTACTGTTCTGCTCCTGACCTGGGCTAATGAAGACGGGCATACAGTGTGCTAGGAGGGAAATTTTGCCGGGGCAGCGGCGCTACGGCCTACTCTTATATCTAATTCCCACTGCCAAGGGATCTTTTACGTGCACGACAATGTGTATACAGGACCTCGGTGTTTCGTCATATCCGAACGACTAGACAGCTGTCCTTGTCAGGCCCTCCATGCTGCTTATAACCTTTACTTTCCATCTACAAGGGGGATTATCCATATCTCTTTTTAGCATGTACTAATAGAATTTCAAGAAAACTCATCCGGTTTTTTTTTTTGCGTTTTCCATGGATACCAGACAAACCACAGTCTATAGCCAAAATTTTTGGACTTGCAATCAGCATTGTTCATGCCAAATTTGGTGAAAATCCATGCAGGCATAACTGAGAAAATTTGACTTTTAATGTCATCCGTACCCTTTATTATCGCGCTTTTGGACAAGGTTTGGAACATATATGGTAAATAAAATTGGTATTTTATTGGTGACTAATATGTAGTTTATCACCCTAGGAAAATTACAAAAATTACACTGCTAGCTTTAAAATGTGCATTTTAGACTGCTCAACGCCCTTAATCATGAACTTTTGTGAATGGGATCACTGACTTAAAAGAGCAGGTGGAATTGATTTAAAAAATTAAATATTCCTTTGATATACTTGTACAATCAATCAAACTGTGATATTTATGAAACAATAAACATTGGTTTTCAAGGTTAGTTTGATTAAACTGAATATTGTCGATATCAGGTTCCTTCTAGTACTGTTACTAATATTGGAATATTAAATCAACAACAACCAGTTTATGATTAATTATTAAGTTTGTTACCGGGGATTTTTTTACTATGATTTATCTACAAGGAATGGTTCCTGTTTTTCCTTGCCTGCACTGTTATGGGGACTCTTCCGCCTTTCTTTTCCTATCGAGTGTGAGGTTTTATTGTGTCCTTCTTGGATTAATTATTAAATAAATTGATCGATTTTTTGTTTTGGGGGTTTTTTTGGGGGGGGGATACAATACTCAAATTATTTTCACAAATACAACAATTTCAGTCTCATCTTGAACAGATATATTTATTTTGTTTATCAGTCAAACTTAATTTATCCTTTAAGTTCAGGCCTTTTTGAACTGATTTTTTACAATTCATTATTTAGTATTAATTATAAATATAATACTGGAATATGATTGTTTTTTGGGGTTTTTTTTTGTCTTCTATGAAATATTTACTAATACTTTTTAATTTAACTTAAAGATACATTATGTAAGAATTAGATAAAGAACTAGCCATTCTTGCTATAATAGTTCGAAAGTAGATGATATAAAATTAATAATTTGAAAATTTCATTCAAATTACTCTATTGCAAGCGAAGATATTAGCCTTTGAAGGTTTGACAGACGTGTGCAATAATTTCAACCACCGTACTGGTTGATCGAAGCTAAGTCTCAGTCCTCCATATTTGATTAAATCAAAGTATCGCTGAATCATTCGAATCTATTTAATATCAGAGAAATCTAATGCCATCGAGAGTTGATTAAGGCCTGGATCAGTTAGTTAATGTCTAATTAATACTTTAGAAAACATTTCAGGCCTAAAGAAAGACCTGCAATAGGCAGATTTAGCTCTTGCATAATGCATGTTTAAATAAGGTCATGTAAAATTGATACCTTGTTTCTTCTCCCCATGCTCTGGGTAGACCTAAGTGCATGTGCAGAGAGAGAGAGAGAGA